AGTCAAACTAAGTGAGGAAGAGAGGGGAGGTACCCACGGTACCTGCCAAAAGTACCGCCGGTACCCGCTGGGAGGTGCCTGGTGCGGTACTTGGTACCTATTTTCTGAAAAAACTCAACAGGTACCCGAGTACAAACAAACAATCTCTACACCTTGGTCGCTAAAATCTACGGCAGTATGTAGTCTCCTTGCAATTCCTCACATGTAGGGACTCCTAGGGACTCACCCATGGCCTACAAACAACATGTGAAACCCAACCCTCACACACCACACCACCCTCAGCAGCACACCTGTCATCAATTTTAACAAACCACTCCTCCAAGTTGTGGTGTATGCCACAGCAGTTTGAGACTGTGAAACTGGCTGTGTGGACCCAATCATCAAGATTTTACGGCCCGGAAGTAGGGGCCGTGGTGGAATGGCTCTTAGATAAGTTTGGCTCCAGCACCATCTAAGCCAAACTTGACACACTCTCAGCTAGCTCCAACAGTCTACAGCAAAACTCCTTGAAGTTGCATCACTGTTGAATTGGAAGCACCAACCAAGAAATCAACTGCAGATTTAAGCAAGTAAACTTACATGCCAGTAAGCTTAATGTTAAAGCTTTAATCCTAAAGCTTGCAATTAAAAAACTGACACGTCTTCCAAGACCATCTTTTGACACACCGCACTACATAAATGGGAGCAGTCCAAATTATGCTTCAATTGAAATACAAGCACACGTCAGTGGGCCCTGGGTGCATAGACAACAATTTGGGGCATGAAAGCTTCTTGCAAAAATGGTCCTCATGAAAGAGTCCAATTGGGGTTTGTAAACTGGGCCAAGACCCACAAAATCTATGGATGTGGACTGGGGCTCCACCCCTTTTTTAGGGGACTTCAGTCTGGACTCTGAGCATACTCTTCTTTTAGGGGGCTTTCTGTATTCCTAAACAATGATTTCTTTATCACATTCATTTCTGAGCAGATGAATTCATGAAAAATCCAATTCTTCCATTGGCACCAGTACTTCTTCATATATGTAGAATTTTAACTTGCTCTCATGCAATACACAGGCAAAGTTTGATATGCTTTGAATTAACCAAGAAGCCTTGAAGAAAAATTCTGATCAATCAATCTGAGGAAGGCTGTGTTATTAGGCTTCATGGGAGTCAATGCCTATCCTATTTTCACAATATGACCTTCTAGAAAGATGAACTCATGATTTCACTCCAGCATTGAGTTATGTGACTGGAGTTTCACGAATTTTCTGGTAGCTGTTACAGGCTGTTACATAGCAAACTCTGCTACACACCAATTACCATGGAGGAAAAACTGCGGTTACCATACTACCATGCTGTTTTTACCACTCAAAGCATTGTAGCATAGAGGTTCTTAAAGTTTGCTGACATTGCGGTGTCAAGGGGATTGAAAGGGGGCCGCCACGCTGATCCTTCTTGGCCCAAAGGCGCAGTGTAGCGACATGTTTTTCGATTGACCTTTTTGAATCGTCTTGAGTGATATGTCTCAGTATCGTTCCAGTGCTAACCACATTCTTTTTCAGCTAAGATGCAGTGACAGGTGAGCTCTTTCACAGAGATCTCAGGAATCTATCTAGATAGCCTACTCGAAATGTGACTAACTTGTCCGACACACTACTGCTAGTAGTGTGATGAGTTCCAGCAGTGACCTATCAAATGCCAAGCTACTGATTCTCATTCATGAAATAAGGTCCACTAGATCAAACGTCGTAATGGGGTTAGGCAATAACCATGTCACCCCAAGTTTTGTTTGACAAGATATTCAACAGTCAGCTGAGCAGGCAGAAGAGACTTTTTGTAGTACAATGCTGAACAGTCGGTAAGATTATTAGGTAAAGGAACGATGTCTGTAATAACTTCTAAGCAATAAATTTTCTGTAGACATGGAACATTTAACTTTCAGTATCAGCGAGTCCATATGAATTAAATGAACGAAAAGGCTTACTTTAAAAACCTTCGGTGGAACTCAGTTCGCAGGAGATCATTGACGAATTCTTTCTTTGGTTTCTCGTTCACATCACGAGCCTGATTTTTGAAAATGACATCATCATCCCACCGTCGTTTGACGAAAAAACTATTGGACGAAGTGGAGACTGAATTGGTCGGAGAAAGGCCGTTTTGATTCAAAGCAGCTTTGAGATTAAGAAGAGGATTGCCAACGGCCGCTTCAGCTTCTTTATCTAAAGCTGCATTGGCGTTTGATTCACGTTCCTAAAATCAAACACAAGAAATGAGCTTGATGGACTGCGAGGAGATAAAAAATAGTTTTGCTTGGTTTGCACCAACCTGGCGTTCTTTCTCTTCAGCCCGTTCACGCTTGATCTTTTCCAGCTCTCTCAACAATTCAGCAGTTTCCGACTCGTCGTCATCACTATCATCATCATCATCGTCGTCATCGTCACTTTCCTCATCATCATTCTTCCCGTTCGTCCTGCCGTTATCACTTCCATTGTGGCTAGATAAGGGTACTGAGGTCGCCTTTCCTTTGCCGTGTCGCTTGGATCCTCTCTTGTCATCATCTGAATCCTCATCACTCTCAGAGTCATCCTTATCAGCCAGTAACGCTTCCTCAAGAATCTTCCTTCGCTTGGCCTTTGATTCTTCATCGGTTCCATCTTCTAGTAACTTCGTACTCGATTGTTTCTCATTTGCTTGATTTTCTTCATTGATCGGTAATAATCCAGCCGCACGCCGTCTCTTGGCCGCAGATTCACGCTCGGCCATCTCAAGTTCTAGTTTCAGATCACGTCGAGCTAGGTCATCCTTACTGTTTTGTCCAGGCTGTCGGTATTTGAGCTTGGTATGTGCGGCAATGTCTCGCGAACTGTATTGCTTCGTATTCATCCGCGCATCTTTTCCCATCTAAAGAGTTCCCAAAGAGCAAATCGTAAGTTCTTTTTTTTCGCTCAACATCTGGTCGGTCAAGATGAGGCGAATATATATCCTACAGCGGGAGTCCATGTTGGCCTGTGTGCGCTAGACATGGTTAGTTTCTACGTGTGGATCGATCGGAATACTTTGAAGATATCTGTCGGTAGTCGATGGCGAGAAGTAAGTCGAGGGTTGAGTTGATAGTTGTTGTCCAGGGTCCTGTTGAGAGCGATGGACGTGGATAGGGGTTGAGGGTGGTTGGAGGGGGTCGACCCTGTGGGATGCGAGTGAAAAAATCAAGCGCCGCCGCGGTCGTGCGCTGGGGTCTACGCCCCATCCAACGCGGGGGCTTACTAGGTCCACTAGGACTCGGAGGTCCAGCTTGCGTATTGAAGAATTCTCCCATGTATCACTCACACTCAGAAAACCTCATCAGTTTATGGTAGTTATCAAGATAAAGCATCAGTATCAAGACAAGTGCAACTGGATGTGAAGGGTCAAGGGTGGTAGGGTTTAGCCCAAGGTCCATGGCCATGGGAAATTCAAAAAAGCATGAATGCTCCACAGACTGAAACTTGATGTAACTTGTGAGGAATGTGCATCAGGAAGGAATTTTTGCCAATAACCTCTGGTCAATCCCCATTCTTGACAGGATGGCACATCATCTATCTAGTGACTTCAAGTGACTTCGAAAAGGAATCGTTGGAGGACTCCCGACTAATTCCATTCCCATCCACTCGTTGAAATTTTACTCAGTCTTCAGGTTAGGGCACTCGGGACACCATCGCGAGCGGGGTTAGATAGTTCGAGTACACAGAACTCTGGACCGGGTTTGAAAGGTTTCCTTCTAATTAACATGTACTGCATCCGACCAACCTTCAATTTCGCATCCGACGTTCTCCTTCGAGAAACTGAGACGCTTTGCCAGTCAGACGTACGTATGTGTTTGACGAGCTTTGGGCTAGCTTCCATACTTGGTTAATGTCTAAATAAATCAGCTTCCTGTCTTCGATTTATGGGCGACCTATGCACGAATCACAGTCGAAGAATATACCAGCACTCACATTGTAGACAGACCTCATCAATTTCATCGCCAATGATCATTTACAACGCAGCAATCTATATTTTACAATGTTTGGGAGTTGGGCAGGTTTTCAAAGGAATGAATGTATCATGAAGGCCCAAGCACCTTGAGGCAGTACCCAATGAAAAATATTAGATTTGGGAGGCTCACTCAGGCACAAGAAAAAAAATTACAGAAGCACGTATATTTCAAGGAGTCATTTAGGCATCAAGGAGTACAAGGCTTTAATATTTAAGCATAGGAAGGAGAAACCAAGCAGAGAAAAGAAAGAAACACCAAGATCGATCTGCGGAAGTTCTCGATCAGTTTTCTTCCTCAAGTCTGCAGGGATGGAAGGTTTAGAGCAGAAAAAACTTGCTTTCATTCAATCCCCTCCTGCTGCCAATATTCTGGCTTCGTCGCGCCTGTTGTCGGCGCAAGAAGCCGTTCGGTTAGTTCGCCTCTTTTGTCGTGCCGGTCCAACTTGGCTTCTCGGAGGTGGTGGGGGAGGGGTTTGGGGTGGCAGAGTATCCGTCTGGGCAGATACCTCTGGAGAACTTCTAGCCATTCTGAAGGGGGTACCGCGTTGTGACGAAGGTGGCATTGAAGTACAAGCAACTGATCACTCTTGTTGATTAATCAAGAGGGAAATTGAAGCTTGTTGTTTGCACTCCTTCAAATTGTGCATAAAAACAATGTTCACCAAATGAGGAAGATCACTTTCATGTCAGAGGGATTCTCTGTCTTGTCGCGCTTCTATTGGCCAAGGACCTCAACTTCTTCTTGACTGGAATTCTTGAAAGGCAGCACTTTCAAGAGGGAAATTTTTTTTGAAGCGCGCAAAATTCTAGATATGTAGTTGGAAGGGCTATGCTTTATTTCTTTCTTTCGATCAGCTTCACAGTACGGATAATTGGATTATACTCCGGCAGTGCCTCTATGTTGAAATTGTGTCTCCAACTACTATCAATTCTACTCTTAGCCCTCATAGAATATTTATTTTCCCGCGTGGAGTCTCTGACTGCAAGAATTTCATCGGTCCCTGCAGAATGTTAGGAGAAGCTGAGTCTGATGGTTTGGGAGCTCTTTTTTTGGATTTTTTTGCAGCCAAAGGTATAGGGACGATGTACCAGTGGTGTGTAGGAGGGCAAGTAGGTGAATAATATAATCAAGAGCCATAACAAGCTAGTAAAAGACGCTGAGCCCAGGCCCAACAGACCATACTGCAGCTGAATCGATGAGCCCTTTGATCGTGAGGCACGCGGATGGCAGTCTCTTTGGGGCTCAGCTGTTACAGCGCTGCCTCATTGCAGCCTGTACAATGGACTGGCGGAGCAGCATCACCAAGTAGGAAGCAGCAGCAGATAAGCTCAGCAGGACTTGGATACATTATAAATAGACCAGAGTATGCATCCATCTCTTTCGTCCTTCCCACCAACAGCTCAACTTCTCCACTCCAGCCCCCTCTCCCCCTCTCCACCTAGTCCTAGAGTCAAGGTAAGCAAAGTCCTTCTTCTTCTTCTTACTCCAATCGATGGCCTCCAAGTTCTCCTAGACCACAAATTGACTCACTCGGGCACTTCCATCTCTGAATTTTCACCAGCACCAAACCAGCAACCCAGGGAAAAAAAGCTTCCAAGATGGAGAATTCTAATCAATCTGATGCATCACAAATTTCTCGTGAGAATCATTCCCTTAAATACTGAACTTGTGATTCTTTTTAGCTGCGCTGGTCTTCGTTAACGATTTGTTTTGTTGCCCAAAATTCTGATTTTTCAAGGTACGCTGATGGTACACGAGACCGTCTCCCAGACTCCAGAGTTCCAAGAATACCTCCGCCAAGAAGCGACGAGAGACCTTCACATCAACATCGAGGCCAAAATTCTGGCCTTGCAAGAAGTGGCAGCGAAGAAGTTTGCGCCCCACACTTCAATCACCCACCCCAGGCTTTTGGTCTTGCAGATGCAAGATGATCATGCTCCCCTCCAGAATCGTGGTTCTCCCTCCACCCCAAACTCTGATGCTAAGGGTAAAATTGGCCCCACTTGAATTGCTTGTGCCGTGGTCTTTGAGCTGCCAAATAATCAGTTCTCAGTTCTAAATCTTTCTTTAATCAAACTTATTTGTATTTTCAACTTGTTCTTTCTCCAATTGTTTTTAAAAACATCTGTTACTTGATAAACCGTGTATACCTCAAATCAATGTAATTTGATCTTTGACTGTCTTATCCAATAAGGTAAACAAGACCTCAATTCCCACCCCAGTGATACCAATTTGTCTGGGGGAGATCAGTCTTATGAGAGTCCTTGATCGCGAAGTTGACACGCGGACTTTTTCGGAAGGTGAGTCCAGTCCTGGAGGCTCGGTCGGGAACCTGACAGAAATTCGCGAGGACTGGGCATTAAAGTGGGCGATGGCGAACTAGAAAAAACCCGCGAGGAGTCTCTTTGCGACGGTTGCATGCAGTCCGCGAGTACATACTCTGCCCGAAGGCAGGTTATGCCATCCATGACTTGACAAACCCTGCGAGGAAGCCTTCAATTTTGCATCCGACGTTCTCCTTCGAGAAACTGAGACGCTTTGCCAGTTAGACTTACGTATTTTATTGACGGGCTTCGGGCTAGCTTCCATACTTGGTTAATGTCCAAATAAATCAGCTGTCTGTCTTCGATTTATGGGCGACCTATGCACGATGCCCAGTCGAAGAAAATACCAGGACTTACGTTGTAGACAGACCTCATCAATTTCATCGCCAATGATAATTTACAAGGCAGCAATTTAGATTTTACAATGGTTTTGGAGTTGGGCAGGTGTTCAAATGAATGAATGTATCATGAAGGCACAAGCACCTTGAGGTAGTAGCCAATGATACTTATTTGGGAGGCTCACTCAGGCACAAGATAAATGATGAAAGTTAAGAAGTACGTATATTTCAAGGAGTGATTTAGGCATCAATGAGTACAAGGCTTTAATGTTTAAGCATAGGAAGGAGAAACCAAGCAGAGAAAAGAAAGAAAAACCAAGATCGATCAGTCCTCTTCCTCAAGTCTTCAGGGATGGGAGGTATAGAGCAGAAAAAAAAGCTTGCTTTCATTCAATCCCCTCCTGCTGCCAATATTCTGGCTTCGTTCGCGCCTGTTGTCGGTGTAAGAAGCCGTCCGGTTATTTTGCCTCTTTTGTCGTGCCGGTTCAACTTGGCTTCTCGGAGGTGGTGGGGGAGGGGTTTGGGGTGGCTGAGTATCCGTCTGGGCAGATAACTCTGGAGAACTTCTAGCCATTCTGAAGGGGGTACCGCGTTGTGACGAAGGTGGCAAGGTTGGTGTTAACAAATCAGTTGACAGAATGCCAAGTTTGACGGTATGCAATATTGATCATTCTAAGTTAAATTACAAGCAACTGATCACTCTTGTTGATTAATCAAGAGAGAAATTGAAGCTTGTTGTTTGCACTCTTTCGAATTGTGCATAAAAACAATGTTCCCCAAATGAGGAAGATTCTTGTCGCGCTTCTATTGGTCAAGGACCTCAACTTCTTCTTGGCTGGAATTCTTGAGAGCTGGCAGCACTTTCAAGAGCGAAATTTTTTCTTGAAGCGGGCAAAAATTCTAGATATGTAGTTGGAAGGGCTATGCTTTATTTCTTACGGATAATTGGATTATCTCTATGTTGAAATTGTGTCTCCAACTACTATCAATTCTACTCTTAGCCGATGTTAAAATTTGAGGCTGTGATCGATTAACGTTATGGTTTTTGTAATCCTAACGCCTCTCATAGAATATTTATTTTCCCGCGTGGAGTCTCTGACTGCAAGAATTTCATCGGTCCCTGCAGAATGTTAGGAAACGCTGAGTCTGATGGTTTGGGAGCTCTTCTTTTGGATTTTTTTGCAGCCAAAGGTATAGGGACGATGTACCAGTGGTGTGTAGGATGGCAAGTAGGTGAATAATATAATCAAGAGCCATAACAAGCTAGTAAAAGACGCTGAGCCCAGGCCCAACAGACCATACTGCAGCTGAATCGATGAGCCCTTTGATCGTGAGGCACGCGGATGGAAGTCTCTTTGGGGCTCAGCTGTTACAGCGCTGCTTCATTGCAGCCTGTACAATGGACTGGCGGAGCAGCATCACCAAGTAGGAAGCAGCAGCAGATAAGCTCAGCAGGACTTGGAAACATTATAAATAGCCCAGAGTATGCATCCATCTCTTTCGTCCTTCCCACCAACAGCTCAACTGCTCCACTCCAGCCCCCTCTCCCCCTCTCCACCTAGTCCTAGAGTCAAGGTAAGCAAAGTCCTTCTTCTTCTTACTCCAATCGATGGCGATTTCTCCTAGACCACAAATTGACCCACTTGGGCACTTCCATCTCTGAACTTTCACCAGCACCAAACCAGCAACCCAGGGAAAAAAAGCTTCCAAGATGGAGAATTCTAATCAATCTGATGCATCACAAATTTCTCGTGAGAATCATTCCCTTAAATACTAAACTTGTGATTTTTTTTAGCTGCGCTGGTCTTCGTTAACGATTTGTTTTGTTGCCCAAAATTATGATTTTCAAGGTACGCTCATGGTACACGAGTCGGTCTCCCAGACTCCAGAGTTCCAAGAATACCTCCGCCAAGAAGCGACGAGAGACCTTCACATCAACATGGAGGCCAAGATTCTGGCCTTGCAAGAAGTGGCTGCGAAGAACTTTGCGCCCCACACTTCAATCACCCACCCCAGGCTTTTGGTCTTGCAGATGCAAGATGATCATGCTCCCCTCCAGAATCGCGGGTTCTCCCTCCACCCCAAACTCTGATGCCAAGGGTAAAATTGGCCCCACTTGAATTGCTTGTGCCGTGGTCTTTGAGCTCGCAAATAATCAGTTCTAAATCTTTCTTTAATCAAACTTATTTGTACTTTCAACTTCTTCTTTCTCCAATTGTTTTTAAAAACATCTGTTACTTGATAAACCGTGTATACCTCAAATCAATGTAATTTGATCTTTGACTGTCTTATCCAATAAGGTAAACAAGACCTCAATTCCCACCCCGATGATACCAATTTGTCTGGGGGAGATCAGTCTTATGAGAGTGCTTGATCGCGAAGTTGACACGAGCACTTTTTCCGAAGGCGAGTCCAGTCATGGAGGCTCAGTCGGGAACCTGACAGAAATTCGCGAGGACTGGGCATTAAAGTGGGCGATGGCGCACTAGAAAAAACCCGCGAGGAGTCTCTCTTCGCGACGGTTGCATGCAGTCCGCGAGTACATACTCTACCTGAGAGCAGGCCATGCCTTCCATGACTTGACAAACCCTGCGAGGAAGCAGGCATACATAGTCTTCGGTCGCGAACTTGAAAAGCTACGCGAGCACTTTGCCCGGGAGGATGTCGCCGGGGCAAAGTGCTCGGGCGCGAACTTCGACCAAGTCCGCAAGGACTGCGCCAAGCCCTCGGTCGTGTGACCTCGACAAAGTCCGCGAGGACTCCCAAAGACAGCACCCGAGAAGAAAAAAAAAGGTCCCAGGTGGGAGCAAATCCATCATACATTGGGGCTTTGTTATCACAACCGAATCTGTTGTCACCGATGGACAGTCTCTGGGGATGTCGTGCTGAGATGACGATGGAGTAAGTAATAGCAACTCAGAGACATGGGGGTGTGGGGATTACATTCCAAAGTGCACCCGCGATGTATGCCGGGTCTTCTTCGGTCCAAAGTTCGAGCCAGAAGATGGTTCGGGCCATACACAGAGGGCAGGATCTTTCAAGGAAAACGTCTTTTGATTATCCAGGCCTGATGAGACCTTGTAACATTTCGATCACGGCGGAGGGAAACTGGTACAAAGCTGTGTGAATTGTACAACCGGATAGGCTTTGTCCTGCAAAGCCTCTCAAAACGGTGTCAAGTGATTATGAGAGGGACATCATCATAATCTTGTTTATCAAGACGCTCAATCAATTTTGACCACCAAGATAACAAGAGGAAAGAGGACGAGAACGGACTGGTAAAGTTCTGCTCATTTGATAAGGATGATATCTCGAAGAAGCGTGAATACATGAACCACCAATTACATATTCTTTTTTTTGTATCGATAAACAATCATGAGTTTACGAAATATGTGTATGTATTTAGTTGATGTTGATATGAGTTTCTTTTTTTGAAAGTTTTCTTGGGATGGACGAGAAAGTGATACAACATGTGGACAACAATATCTTTTATAAAAACCTTGGGAAATAAATGAAGATGGAGAGCAGTAACTATAGAGATAGAAAGAAAAAGGGACGAGAAAGTAAAAAAAAAAAAAAACTACAAATGTTGAATGGTTAGATCACTTTTCTATAAGACCCCTCCTTCAGGATTTATCATAGAAAATAATCCTTGGATTCTTTATCGGGCCTTGGCAAATCCGACAGCGTCTCGACCCCAATCGTAGACGGTGTACCATTTGCGAAGGAACACGTCCCCGACGATCCATAATTCACCAATGTTGGGGGGCATCTAGTCACAAGAAAAAGAAGGGTCAGAGTCCAAACATACGAAACGTAAATGAGTTTTGTGTTTTGAGGAAAGGAAAGGTGCTTACGTCAAGACCGGTGAAAGCAGAGACACAGGTGCCCGAGACTTGAAGGATATAATCCTCTCCAGTGATAGTGAATTCCTTTCCGCCGAAGTTGAAGGTCAAGTCGGGTAGCTCAGGGATTCGACTGCAGTCGACAGTGTATTGACCAGACCAGCTCTTGGTGGCCCCAATCTCGGCATTGATGATCTCCGCAGTATCGGTTGGAAGAGCGATGAGCGAAGTACCTATTAACGCGTCAATGAACATGTCAGACCGTCGAATCCGGGAAAATAGTTTCTGGATGATAGGGTTTGATATGCTTACCAGTGTCGATAGCGGCACCGACATTGTGAAGCTTCATCTCCTCCTTGCCGAATTTGACCGACTTCAATTCAACCTCCCAGTAGCCGCGTCTGCGGACAGGGGCATAAAAGATTTCACCCTCGTAGTGAGCCTCGTCGACCCCACCGAAGACGACTTCGCCACCGTTCGGGTCAGCCTTGTTGCCCTGAGCTGAGCCGAGATAGAATGCGAAGACAGGATCGTCGAGCATCCCATTTTCCATCATCTTGTAGAATGGTGGTACGGTGTGGAGGACAGAAATGGTGTCGTAACCGAGACCGAACTGTGGGATGGGTTGAGTGGGTATTAGTCAACGAAACTCTAGTCAAGGGAGTTGGAAGATCGACTCACGATTCCATCAAACTTGCCGAAGGCAAAGGCAAGTCCGGGTTCTTTGGTACTTTCAGCAAAGTCGACGTCTGGGACAGTCAAGTCGCCGATTGTCAAAACATCATTGCTAATAACACCTTCCAAGCTACCAGAGCCGTATCGGATTTTGAACTCGGTGCCATTGGCCTGGTAGGTTTCAGAGGCCTCGCAATCGTATTTGGAGTGAAGGAAGCAAGCGATGGAGGTGCAACGGGTGGAAGGAACCCATAAGTTGGAGGACTGGATCAAAAGCAAGAATCAGACAGTTAGTACTCTCTTTAGAAAGTGAGTCAGTGAGAAGGGAGGTAGGTTTACCCCAGTGTCAAGGACGACTTTGAAAGATTGAGGCGGAGTGCCAAGACTGATTTCGGAGAAGTACTGGGCGTTCAAGTAGTCTGAATGTGATGAAAGTGTAAACTGTCAGTTGGGGAGAGGATTGATAAGCTTAAGGTGTTTGTACTGACTGCTAAGGGGGACTTCATGCCCAGCACTGGCAAGCTCGGCCTCTTCGATCATTTGGATCGAGACATCGTCGCCCTCCTTTGGTTGTTTGAGGGCATGGCCGTATCTGAACTTCTTCTCGGAGGCAGTATCGTCGACTCCGAAGTATTTCTGACTGACCCAAGCAGTTTGAGATTGGAGGTTGTTGAGGATGGTTTGGGAGTTAGCCGAGGAGGTGATTGGCATCTTGTGGAGTTTCATTCGGTGTTTGCCGGCCGTAGCCGATGGGATACTGGCTACGGCTGCTAAGGCCGTGATAGCCACGACGGCTGAGGTGGACTTCATGATATGGTTTTTGTGGGGTAGAAGGGTGCTAGAGTAACTGTATGGAGAATCAGATGGGTAGTTGATAATAGGGAGGAAGTTGTCAGGGAGGATGCGAGAAGGCAGAAGACGAGGAACCGGGGGATTAAATCAGGGGACCAAGGGGGGGTCAACTTTCGAGGGGGTGACGTACAGGAGCAGCCGCAGTGGAACCGCAACAACGCACTCACACCCCAGCCAAGTGGATCATCCATCAACTAGTTTTCCCACAACTCACTGACAAGCCCTGTGTACATATGTAGTTCAATCAAGTTTTCATCATCATGACTCAAGTCATGCCCATAGTCCAACATCAGGCCATCGTTGTCTCCCCTGAAGCTTTAAATTCAATCTTAATGGTTCGGTTTGGAACTTCCAATCAGATGGCAAGGGCAATCCAACCTACATGGTATAGGGATGGATGGATTAATAGATCATTGGAACTTCGGGAGTCTCGAATGCTCAATCTTCAACATGCATGTTTTTTGTTCTGCTTGGTTTCATCATCAACAGCAAATCGCAAGAATCGGTCATGTTCTTTTTTCTCTATAAAAAATTAAGATATAAGAGATAGAAATATGTAATGTAAAAGCCAAAGAAAAAAACAAAACAAAGGAGAGAGAGAGAGAGAGAGAGTCAAAGAGAACAAAGAACAAATCTCAAACGGGTTTATCAGCGGGTTGGATGACGACGCCGGGGGTGGACAGGACATCAGGTCTAGTGAGATGACGATGAGCGAGTCTGGAGTTGAATTCAGGGCCGATAGAGTGGCCGAGATTGAGCTCGAGTTGGTGGCGATTCGTGTACGGGAACGGGAGATCCTTGAGCTGGTATTTGTTCAGCTTCTTCGAGCCGTTATGTTTCGTCGACTTGCCCTCCAAAATGATCACGTTCTGTTTCCCCGCATCTTGCCGTTTGCTCGGCTCAACTCCTGAGACTTTCTTCACAAACTTCTTCGAATGTTTCGCTTTCTTTCCTCCTTTGCCTACCCAATCTCCCTGCAAAAAAACCATAACAATCATATATATTGTCAGCCTCATTACCATTTTTATTTGTTTGCTGAATCTGTTAGCTTACCCAACCAGGAAGAGTCACATCGACTTCTTTGGGCGCCTCTTTCTCAATTTGTTTCCGTTTCTCCTCGACAAATTGTGCGACTACGCCGTCATCAGCGAAAGCCTGTTTGACGAGCTCGCGCTGTTGGAATGCGGATCGTCCCTGAGAATCAGTCTGGCCCTGACGGATGATCGCGTCCTCTGCAGCATCCTCGTCGCCTTGATCCTGCATGTTCTGGAGCGCATTCGCGCCCACCCCCTCGCTCTTTCCGCCGAGGAACGCGTTGAAGTCCAGGTCTACTTTGGCGTCCTCAGTCGCAAGCTCCCTCTCAGTCGTCTGCTTGCGCTTCCGTTTCTCGGCTTTCAATTTCGCCTTCTCAGCTACTACGTCTACCGAGTCGGCGTTCTTACCCGAGTTCGGATTCAGGTCTTTGATTCGAGAGATCGTCCCTCCCTTCGTCGTCGAATCGAGGGCAACCAGCCATGGATTCGACTCTGCCTCGGTTCCAGCCCGGTTCGGAATGGACTTGGATGGGTTGCTGATGCCATCTGTGGGCAATCTGTCTCCCACAGCCATCACTCGAAGATGAGAGCCTGACGTTTTGGTTGTTCGAGAAGGGGCCGGATGAGTTGATGTGTCTTGATCAGAAGTGGTTGCATCATCGTCTGCCGTCGATGGGCCGATGATTTGACGACACTGGTTCAGAGAAGTCCATGTTAAAAAGGAATAAATCAACAAGTCGAAAGATAGTTTTTTTCTTTACTTACGACCTCAGGATTGAAGACCAATCTACCCGGATTTCCTTGAACCTTCATTCCGCCGTTGAGATCTTCCTCCTCTGCTCCTGAACGGTCTTGCTGATCGTCGAGCAATTGTTGGTGGAGTTCGAGCCTAGCTTCCTCAGCCTTCCTTTCCTTGACAGCCATGGCATTTTGCATGAACTTCATGGCGAACAGACCTTTCAGAGGGGGCTCGTCATCGGAGTTCTGTCTTTTGGAATCTATTTGGCCGAGCTGTTTGAGTGCATGTGCTCTGATGGCATCGACATCATCCTCGGCGTCCGAGTCAAAATCAGAATCAGAATCCGATCCATCTTCTGAGTCATCTGAGCCTTGACGACCGGAGATTTTCTTCTTGAGAAGCTCTTCACGTCGGATCCTTTCTTGAATGGCGGTGTTAGTATCGCCCCCCAAGCCTTTCAAGCCGGCCACTTTCTTGGCCCATTTGCCCTGGTTGGAATGTTTCAAGGAAGCTCTTTCGCGTGCTCGTTCGAGTTCCATCTCTTCGGTCTTTGTCTGCACCCGGTCTCCGCCATCAATGTCATCGAGCTCTTGGATAAAGTCCATGTCTGCCTCTGCCCCTCCAACGCCTGAGATCGATTTCCGCTGCTTCTCCTTCTTCCGGATTCGACGAAAAGCCTTACTCTTGATCTTAGCTACTCGTTTGGCCTTCCGTTCAGCTCGGAACATCAGTTCTCTGGCCATCTTGGACTCGAGAACCTTTTCTCTGATTTGTTCGGGCAGGGTTCCTTGGGAGATCAGTTGATCGTTCTCTTCCTGGACAAGCCTCTTGCTGGTGATCTGAGAACTTTCAATTAGTCCGACCACCTGACTCTCCAAGTTATTCAGAGGGTTGAAGTGCATGTTCCAACGGGTCGCATCGGGCTCTTTATCGGCCGTAGATATTTGATTGGAGGGTACGACAAATCGATTTTTACCATCCGAGTTTCGTCCGGTTAAACCTTTAGCCAACTTGGTAGTCTCGTCCCACTTTGACATCTCCTTCTTGGTCAGCTCATAAGCAGCTTGACGTTCTATCTGCTGTTGTCGACGGGTTTCGAGAGGAGCTGGGATCGGACCGGCTTTGGATGATTTGTTAGATGTAATCAGTGGCTTGAGAGACTTCTTGAGTTCCGAAATTCCCGGTGTTGAGGATAAGTTTGAGAGTAGATCTTCCAAGTTCACTCGACTTGAGGCTTGCTCATCTATCATTCCTCCGGCAGACATACTCGGCAAGATTTCTCCTTCAGTACGTGACTCGATTTGAACGGGTAATAGCTTGCGCCTTTTAGTCGGACCATCGGATGGGTGATCGGTTGAGTTATCCAGACTGTTCTCCTTCCGCTTCTGGGCAGTTAACGAGTCCAAGTTATCGACGATTTTGGCGAGATGGTTCAATCTAGATTCTTCATCATCCTCGAGCTCGTCCAGATCGATGTTTCTATCTTCTGAATTATCGCGTTGACTCGATCGGTCCGAATTCTCAGAACCACTCATCCCATCTTCCTCATCCGAGAATGCGTGATCGCTGTCTGCACCAATGTCGAGCATCGTGGAGGCATCGATAAATTCATCTTGATCCAAGTCAGTTTCTTCTTCCGATCCATCCGACAGGCTTGATGTTTCGCTTTCTTCAAACCTAACCTTTGCGTTCGGGCGCTACAAAAAGGAGGAGGGGGGAAGTCGCTCAAATTAGTGTCTAATATGGAACATGTGATCGTTGGAGTTCGGGACTGACTTTTCCAAGATTGTTTTTTTGATGATCCAGTTGTTTGGGTTTCCTCTTGGGTTGATCTAGTTCACCATCTGCCTCATCAGAGTCGATACTTTCGTCGTCGTCACTGTTCACAAAACCGAAGCCTTCGTCGTTCTCTTGTTGGCATCGTTCGACGAGTGATTCGATCCGGGCCAAGTCATCGATCTCTAGGTCTTCTTGATCATCACCTTTGGAAGGTCTAGTTCCCGTGAGACGGTGATCGTCGATCTGATTGGCAGTCAGTCGTTTTCCTGTTGATTGGCTGTTGGCCTGATAGTCGTAAAACTGGTGGTCTTCATCTATTCTGTCACCCTTTGAGTTGCCGGTTGACTGTTTTGATTTTTTGGTTGATGCTGAGCCCTGTTTGGGTTTTGTTGGTTCGTTGAGGTGTTGGTGAGTGTTTTTGCTGTTGCTTCTCTTGTTGCTGTTGTTGTTGTTGCTGTTGTTCTTTCCCTGTCTTCCCTGTCGAGCTGATCTGAACATCCTCTCCTTCCTCTGAGTTTAGTGTTGTTGTTGTTGTGGTTGGCTGTGTCAGTGTGTGTGTGTGTTGGTGTTTGTATTTTGGGTGGTGGTTGGGCTGGATATTGAATATGCAACTTGCCGAGTAGATCAAAATCAATGCTCACTCAAACCGCTTGTCTGAGAAAATGGTTGGACTGGATGATATAATTATAAGGTGCCTTTAGAGATGATATAATTATAAGGTGCCTTTAGAACTGCTGTCTCAAACATTGCTTCAGGTGCAGCATGTGGTGGATTTTGAGTGAAGCATCCCCAGAGAGCACATGGCCATTCTGCCACATGGTAAATTGGTAAACATATTATGTAGGTTTCAAAATTAAAAGAGAATACGTGAACCCCCAGAAATATTGGGGGAGGAAAACCAAGCCTCTCACAAAGCCAGTATCAACTAGTCAGCAACAACTACTGCTGCAATTTTGTCTTCTTGTCAAATCTTGCTCAACTGAATGATTTGTAGTAGCTGATCCTTATAGCATCATAGTATTCATAGACTTCTCTATCATCTGTACAGTAGAGGCCTTCATGGTTCGTCTACACACAACAGCTTGGTTTACCACACTGCTACTGCTAGTGTTAACATGATACTGCTAATTTAACAGGAAAATCTAATGGTGCTGATGGGTTTGAACTACACTAGGTTTTGCTATTTTTCACTGATGGCATGGCAGACACAGTGTTGTCAATTGGTGATCTTGTTTGGGAGGGCATTGCCGAGGCCAAAGGCTAAAAAAGTCAAGGAGGGTTGGGGTGGATAAATTCAAGCTTGTCAAACAAGCATAAGGCTGCGTAGGGCTTGTGCTTGGAGGCTTAGCTTTCTTAACCGGTTGCAGACCTTGAGACGCGGTTTTAAGGACTTGAATTGATGGTCTCAAGGCACCTTCAAGGCATTGCAATATATGGATGGTAGCCATACTTGTGACTGATCTTTTTAATGAAGCATTGAGTGAGACGTGATTTCCATGAGATCATACTTTGTATGTCACTGTCGACCGGAAACGCCAGTCTACATCCACACTCATTAAACTGGGTATGATGGACTGACTTCATAGTGCCAACGCTGGGTCCGCTACCCTGTTGGTAGCGATGGTATACATAGTGAAGCGCAGTATTACACTTCCACAAAACAAAGATAAGCAGACCAGACGATTTTCCAGGACAGTTGAAAGTAATGAGGTTTCCATAGATTATGTTTCAGGCAGCGGTATTTACATAGTCAAACAAAACCAAGCAGAGGAAACAAGCAGCATCAACCACGCACAATCAGACGAGATTTTGGTCAGACTGCTCACTCAAGAGACCACTTCGCGGTAGATCTTGATGGTTTTATCAGCACAACCAGTGATAAGACGAGTCCCGGTGGCATCAAAGGTACTACAGAACACCCCGGCCTCGGCGTCTAATGAGCCCGACTGAGGAATATCACTCATCGTCTGGAAGGGCAAGCCAGTCTTGTAATCCCACCAAGTCATCGATCCATTATCAGCTGGACGATTGCAATGAAAAAGTCAGCTCTGTTGTCGATAAACCCAAAGCTAGTCTTAAATCATCACTCACCACCTGAATACATCACCCCTTCTTCGTTGACGCAGACCGTGTTAATGATCGCATCGTGCCCACTGAAGTTATGCACAAACATTCCCTCGGGGCACTTCCACTTTTTGATGTTATTGCCCCCGGAAGAGCCGGAGGCAAACGAGTACTCGGTCGGATGGATCGTCAAACTCCGGACCGACTTATGATGGTGAGTTAACTGGGCCATCGTCCGTCCGGCTGCCAAGTCCCACAGGCTATAACAAACCCAGGCCGATTGATTAGTTAGAGGCTGAGAAAATGATCAAAATTGCAGAGGGGTGTGCCTCTTACCGAATTGTCGAGTCCATCGATCCCGTGATCACCTGTGGATCACTCTCTTGACACTTCACATCAGCAATCGTCGCTGTGTGACCAGATAGCACGTGCACTTGAGCTTTGGTTCGCATGTCCCATACTCTAGCCGACGCGTCACGTCCCGCAGTCACAAGTACATCAAGAGTCGGGTGAAGACTATTTATTTAGACATACCAGATGCGGGTAAGCATCGAAAATTATTGTCCAAGAGGAAGAAATAAAAGGGATATCTTACCTGAGAGAGTAAACCCCACTCAAATGACCATGATAATGGCGAATGACTTTATTCTGCTCGAGATCCCAGCATTTGACCATTTTATCCTCCCCACAGCTGAAGAGGTAGGGGTGACGATCGGAGACGGCAAGACCTCTGACGGTCGAGATATGGCCGGTGAGACTGAGCTTGAGGTTGCCGCTGGCGAGGTCCCAGACCTTGATGATCCGATCCCCAGCGCCGGTGACGAACCATTGATTACCCGGCTCGACCGCTGCCGATCGCACCCAGCCCAGATGGCCCGAGATCACCCGGTGCAGCTTCCATTGCGGGTGGAAGTCAGGCTTGACCGTCCGCGCCTCGCGCCGTCGGATCAGCGACTTGGACAAAAGTGTCGATTGCTTGTGTGCGGCGTGTTGAGAGGATTGGGACTGATCGGCCCGAGTCAACTGAGATGAATCGCTCGGATCACTTGGCCCGGCTGACACAACAAAAGATTCAGAAAACGCTTTCTGTCAAGTTGGCTTAAAAGTATAGAGTTCTTACCTTGAATCCGTAATGGTCCCTGGGGCCCGCTTGTGATCGATTTGAGAGCTTGCTGTTGCGGGGGCCTCGAAGGTCCGCTGGAAGCTTGCTGATCAAGGACGGCGGAGGGAAGAGACTTGCAATCGCGATACTCGTCATAGGTCTTGGTCGCCACTCGCATCCGGAGACTATTTAACCATCAAAGACCAGATCAATCGTCAGCTTAGATCTTGCAAGCACTCGACATACTCGTTTTTCTTTTTCTAGATTTACTTTCGTTCGACATCGTTACAGTCCAACGGTTTGTTACAGGCGAACAACGCATGAGTTCGTTTCAAAGATCTCTCGATAGCCGATAGCTCTTCCGTCGCCGTCGTACTCGTTCGACCCATCTTGACGTGTCTTGTCTGAAGTGGTAGCTGGCCCTCGAACTGCTGGTCGGCGGTCTCATCCATGATCCCGTGGCACCCTGTCGGACTGTGTCAGACTCCCCGGACAGCGGGGATTGCCTAGCTAAACCCGGGGGGCGACTCCCGTTACCCGTACCAGACTCCAAGACCCCTGTACCAGACTCCAAGACCCCTTGAACAGGCCCAGCTTTTCTTTTGTGCAGAATCGCAGATGGGGTTTAATGTGTGACAATTCTTCTTCTACATACTACATACTCCGGTATAAATGAGCAGACCAGGATGGGGGGGACAAGCCAATGGATACAGTCGTGGACACTGTCAATTTTGTTGGTGTTAAAAGGAGTGAACGTTCAATTTCTTATGAATGACTTTCTGGTTGGAAAGCAAGAGGTTTACATAAGTAGGTCACCTCGAGCAGCCAACTTAACCAAGTCCCTCCATGGAAGGAGGGAGGCCGTCCCGCAGGGACCCTTCCTCCGGCAAACTATCGGATGAGACTGCTAGAGGGAATCAGTTTAGCGGATGGAACTGCTGAAGAGAATCAGACGAGCAGACACTCCCACCACGAAGCATCCATGCCATGGAAGTTACTTAACCGCAGACTCGCTTCTCCCTCGACGTCGTACCTCTCCACCGTCTCTCCTGCAGTCATGAAGCGGCATCTCCCGTTAAGAGACACAACAGAAGATGAACCCGACGCCCCTGCCGGAGGGCTATGTGCGAATGGGTTCCCGCGAACTCATCCAAAAAATGATTGAGGTTGCCCAGTGTCGTAAATTGATTGTAAGCTGTTGTTTTTGGCTTCTATGACGCGATTTCGGCGCGTGAAGTTTCGGCCATTAACTGGTTGGGCATCTGATCACCAAGTTTCAAGTTGAAACATGTTAATGTGTTCCAATCAAATACACAACGACTTCAATGTCTCAGTGTACTTCCGATGGCATCCAGATTGTTCAATCCCCATGCTTCAGTCTTTTCAAACACCACTCTCAACCAAATACCGCAAAGGCCTCACGTCTCCAATTCTCAACTTTTCTTTCTGTTTAACAAGCAAGTTGGGAAGATCATGTTCAATTTCATCAAACAGGTATTCCTCATATCACTCGTGATCGACCAGGCTCGATTAACTCTTCTAACTTTGCCTCAAACTGGCGAAGAATCTGTTTTTGAACTGCCCGATTTGAACTTGCCCTACTCAGATGAAAGCCCTCTCCAGTCGTTGTATTCGAGCGAAAATTCGCATGTCGATGGTTCAGATCCCGTCTTGAAACAAGCAATGCTGCATTGCGACGAGATCCCGCACTCTTCGCCCTCAACCACTCATGATTACTCAGTCAGTTCCCTCAAGCGCAAAACCAACAATCTAGATACCAACCTTGCGGCCAAGAAAGCGCGAATAGTACCGGAGAAGAGATCGAAGGCTGTTTCACATGACCAAAAAGAAGACAAGCCTCGCGATAATGGGGAAATCGTGGACCAAGGTCCCAATTCAAATTACTCCGGAGCTCTCAGCATACATCATACACCAATTGAAAACTTGAAAGATGCACGCAGTCCTCAAAGTAGGCAGAAATTTCCACTAGAACCAAGCCGAGATGTATGCACAATTTCAAATGTCAATGACTGGAATTTCCTCAAAAAAGCCGGATACAAGAGCAGAAACGATGATCCAGGGGACTACGAAAAAACTAAAACTGATTGGATGTTTGACTTTGTCGAAAGATTGAATAGCAAGGAAGGTTATAGTCCAAAGGAGAAAGAACTTAGTAATATTGCCGGGAAGAAAGCAGCTTTGATTTTGAAGATGTTTGACAGATGCAAGAAAAATTTTACCTACCCATCCGAAATGCAAAGAAATGGTCGTCAAGTAATAATCTTGAAGAACATACTTTGGATCTCAAGGGAAAAACTTCATCTTGGAAGATTCAGAAACACCATTGAAAAAATTTCAACAGAAGTGGGAAACAGTCTGAAATCTAGAGTGCAAAATTCCTCAAAAAAAATCCTAAAACTTGATAAAAAAACCTCGCGGATCATGGAATACGTAGCAAAGATAAACATAATTACAACAAGCCTGGCTATACTCTATCTTGCATTATTTCAGGAACATGCCGAAGGCGAATTGTCAAAGGAATTCATTCAAGGTGTATTAGATTTTCTCAAGGATTTCTGGATGGATATTGTTAAAGGCAACCACAGAGATCTCAAAGTAAGAACTTTTGCTCAGAATTTGCATGATCTGTTGAGTTTGGAGGATGAAGACCTCGCCATGGGTGCTAGGAACATGCCGCAATGTATCATGACAGTTTGTTGGAATATTATTGGGTATTGGTCAGAAAAAAAGTATCCCAAGTTGAAAGTTTCAGGGAGCAAAGACTATGGGCAATCAATGACTGAGATAATCAACAAGATAATTTTTTTCTCTGATTATCCGTAACATTTCAACAAAATCTACAAGTACATAGACACACAATGCTCCAAAGAAAAGTTTAATTAGTAAATTTGATTACCATTGAAGCTTGATTATTAGTTTTTTTTTGAAATCAGACTCCAACATAAAATCTATCACATCAATTAAGATCACATTCCTAGTTCATAAAAACATTATCAATTTAAAAGCATTCCATGATCTCCAAATTAAAACTTTTAAACCTTGAAATCAATCCTTTTATTTATAGTTCAGATCTTCCATTTATTTGCAGTTCAGACATGAGGATGATCCACACGCTTATCACAATTTTTTGGCAAACCAACCCACCAGCTTCTTGGACAAGCATTCTTGAATTTGGTTTGCAGGCAAGATGTTTGACACACAGCCTGTCTGACCAGTTCTCATGCTTTTTGTGGCTATGGGTTAAACGTACCTCACTTTGAGAGCCATTTCATTCCACTCTAGAGTGTTATAAGTATTATGACAGTTTTTTGAATGTTGTTGAGTATTGGTTAGAAGCAAGATATCCAAAGCTAAAAATTTTGGGGAAAAGGGCTATTGTGAATTATTGACTGAAATAATCAACAACATAGTATGTTTCTCTTAGCATGAGTAACATTTCACAAGAGGATTTGTGAGAAATTTCACAAATATGTAGAATCCAAAAAGGCCAAGTATGTAGATGTGATTGTCCTTGAAGCTTAATTATTGTTGTGTTCTTTTTTAGTCAGATTCAACCATAAAATCTACCCACTTGGATCTCATACCTAGGACATAGACATTTAATATATTCCAATTTGTTATGTCATCTGTGGGGATAAGTCAGTATTGGACCTCTGATTCTGTGTTTTTCTATCAATCCAGTCTGTTAGAGACCCCAAGCCCACAGGCTGACCGCAGGCGGCCCACAGAAGGCCTGCGGGAAGCCTGATTGCTAATTGGGTTTGGGCTGGGCTGCTGATTTCCTGAATGTGGCCCGGCCCAACCTGCCCAACAGTGTTGAGGCCTGATTTGGGTCGGCCCGAGTCCGCCCAATTATCATCCTTAGCTGTAGTGCAGTGTAACATAGCGTAGTGACACTAAGGGCGCGTACCATAGCTGCCCGCGGGCTGCCAATTTCCAATTTTTTTGGCAGTAATCGATTTTGACCAAAAACGTGTACCACAAGGGTCAGTTTTTATGACAACTGATCTAATCGTTTTCTCACGTTTGCTGCTGTTTGAGGAAACGGCCTTACCCCCGTTTGGGGAAACGCTTCATCTGGCATTCTGCAGCATTTTCTTGTCACCAAAGCCCAATCATCATATGTACACAATCGATCCGACCCTTCTTCAGTTATCACCGCCTGCTCGCTCCACAGTCCCCCTGATTAGACTTGCAACCAATCAGCTTCACAACCAATCGGCTTCACAGGCCTCAAACAAGAAAGCATCATCGACTGCAAACACCTCAACAATGTGTCCTCATCTGTCGTTTTATTTTCAAAGGACTTGCTGAGTCGATCAAACATTCTAGAAATGGTATGATTGATAGATCGATCAATCAATAGAATTGATGCAAAAAAGACCAATGGGAAGAAAGAAAGCAAAGTACGATCGATTGGTGGGAAGAATGCAAATATGTGATGCATGGAGATGTTGTAGTGAGTAGCTTTGATGATGAGTAATTGGGATGTGCTGAGGGATAGGTGTGATGGAGATGAGGTGCCTTGGTGAAAAACTGTGTGTGTGGTACACGTTTTTGGATAAGGCCGTTTCTCAACCTGTTTAAAAAAAAGCGCAGAAAAAAAACGGTCGGGAATTGATTTTCAAATTGGGATGCGCTGTGGTACGCGCCCTAACAGTGTGCTAACACTACAGGTTTTGCACACTGTTTTGAGGGCCGCTAAGCTAACATTGGTGCGTAGCAACCCACCATTGCGTCCAGGCTGTTCCACTTTGCTGCACTTTTTTCCCAGCAATAGAGCATATTTCAATTTTTCTTCCAGCCAGGGGGAAAATCAGGTGTGTGCTGCTTCCCAGAAGCGCTGAAGTGGGATTCAACTTGCACTCCTACTTTTGAGCAAAGAGGAACCCCTCCTTTCTGGGCTGAAAGTGTACTTACACAGCAAAGAAAAGCTTTTACAGCCACTACAAGAAAATGCCAAGCAACTGCTAGCAGTTGACATGCAGCAAGCTCCAATCAAACTTTGATGCAAGCTGAGGTCATTGTGCTGATGTAATTTGGTGGCACAGCCCTGAGACTTCAAAGGGGTGGACCAGAACAAGGTACAACAAAAGTGCGAGTTCAACTCAAGTTCAGTGCAGAGTATGGTCTGAGCTCTTGCATGTCAACTGACACAAGTTGCTTGACTTTTTTCTTGTAGTGAGCTTTGCTGCAACTGTAAATATATATATGGGCTTCCACCATTCTTGAAGATAAATTTGGGCAGAACAGGCAAACGAATGCAGTTATGAAGAAAAGGTTTGGGAATTTCACTATGCAGTATCCTCTTATGCAGTCAGGGCCAAAAGGTAACAGTTTTAGCTGGCACCAACTAAAGTTGGAAGGATCAAATGTGCACTTCAGCATATCATGCCCTTAGTTGAATATGCAGTTGGGCATTTTGACTATACATGACAGACAATGAGGTAAAAAGCTGGCAATGGCAATGTCAAAGTCAGATGAGGTCTGATTGAGATACCCTAGTAGTAGTTAGTATCTTAAAATTTTCAGACAAACTTGTGCCAAACCTTGCCTCCAAATTACAAATTACTGCTAGCCAAATGGGGCCTTGATTGAGGAGGCTTAATTTTCCTCACAACAAGACTTTGAGGAGGCTCAAGTTTCACTCAAAGGAAAACTAAGCCAGGGACTGATGATTTTCATTTATATTTATCTAGCTGATACAAATAGTTAGTCTAAATATGTACAAGTTTTTTGGTCAAGTTGTGGGAGCAGAAACTGGATAACTTCCTGTTGCAATCTGCAACCTTCCTAGAAGTCAATTTATACCTCTTAGATCCAATTTTTTTTTTCTGAAGCCTTCTAGCAATAGCTTGAATGTGAGCTGGCTGTAATCTTGATTGTGTTGTCAATTTAAGACTTGGAGAGGTATAAATAGCACTCTAAATCACTATTGGAAGCCCTCCACTTGGATCATTTTGAATTACAAATTGAGAATGATTAACAGTTGTCAGTCATGGGACATGCCAGTGAATAAAAAAGAGATTGGCGAGTGAAAGTCCAAACAACTCAAAGTGTTTGTCAAAGGGAAGTTCTCAGAGCAAATCATAATCAAGGCCTGCTTGACGTCGCAGGGGCTCTGTGAAACAGCTATCAGTGTCTCCTAATCGCTCTGGTGGTGCGACATTGTTCATGTTTTTGCTGAAGCCTGATGTTGATGATGCTTGATGAATAAACAAGAGCAACCCAGCAACCGAGCCCCTCTTCTCTTCCACGTCAATCGGTGGCGGCGGCAGAGTGCTTGGCTGCAATCCTTTGCTTAGCTGGGGTTGTGGAGGGGTGCGGATACTCTCAACTCGGCGGGTCTCCTCGTTTTGGAGTCCATCGTCGTCACTGCAGAGGTCGCTCTCACCTGAAACCGGCAACAACAAAGACCAGCAAGAACAACGACGAAAGCTTCAAGTTTATCATCGACGCTCGACCTTCGAAATTTCCAGCAGGATATTGAACAAAAAGCTGGCCAGGAATCAGGTAGATATACACATCCTCAACCGATCTTGGCTTTTTTCTCAACTGATTGCTGTGGTTATTCTCTTGTGTTCTTTGTCTGCGTTTCCTCTAGCATCTCACTCGATAATCTTTGGTCAATTTTATTCACCATGAGACTCGTGGCCTATGGGGGTGTATCCACCCTCTCAGCAACATGTGCTGTCCTTGCTGCTTTCAGACAACGGGCTAACTTTTATGCCGCCGCTGTCTACCTCAGCAAAAGTAATGCATGTATGATGGTAAGTAATTCAATCTTTTCAATGGGAAACCACATACGAAATCTATCGTGGTGTCATGGCTGATATCTGGTTTGCTTGCGTTTTTTGATTCAACCAGATCCTCTGTAACTTTGGTATATTCTGCACTATCATCCTTGCCAAAATCCTTCAATCGATATTCTTTGGTCAACTGAGATTGGCCGAAATCGAGCGTGTCAACGATCGGTTATGGTTCACCATTAGTGAAACCCTATTGGCCTTGGCTATGTTTAGGGACGAATTTGATACCAGCTTTGTGGTCTTATTTATCAGCCTGATCTTCGTCAAATGTTTCCATTGGTTGGCTGCCTATCGAGTAGAATGGGTCAATAATTTTCAATGCTTTCATCCAATTAATCAATCCTAGACTCATTTGAAACCTGATTTACTGACTACTTCCTTTGTTCTCGATCTCAGATGGATCAAACAACCTCTCCACCTGGAAGATTGTTCCATGCACGAATGATATCTGTCTTGTCAATCATTTGGGTCACTGACATGCTCCTGATTGCGTATGCTACTGAATCTGTTCTATTACATGGTCCAAGTGTGGTGTTGATGTTTGAAATGGAGGTACGCTATTCTGGAGATCCCTTATGACCAAAACTGGACCAAAAATGTTGACATTCTCGAAACTGCACCTCTCATCTTCCATTCACCAGTATATCATCATGCAAGTCACTTGCCTCTCCATCATCTGCAAATACATCCTCAATTCTTACGCTCACTATCGGGCTCAAGAACATTGGGAAGGCAAATCAACCTATCAATTCTACATCGACCTCGCAACAGACTTTCTCAAGTTACTCACTTACATCGGATTCTTATCGTTGACACTCACCTTCCACGGCTTACCCATCAATGTATTGAGAGATGTATACTACACATTCAGATCATTTATCACCAAATGTAACAATCTAGTCCGGTTTCGTCAAGCCACTCGAAATATGAATGAACGCTATCCGAACGCTACTCGAGCAGAGATGGAATCACTGACTGACAAGACTTGTATCATCTGTCGAGAGGATATGGAGTTTAGGGATGACCATGAACCACAAGCTGGAGATCCCGCACCGAACAACAACAATAATGGTACTGCACCAGCGGGTCCCAATGATACCCCCAAGAAACTTGTTTGTGGACATATTTTCCACTTTCACTGTCTAAGGAGCTGGCTAGAACGCCAACAAACCTGTCCCACTTGGTTAGTCCCTCTGCTCTTTGCACGCACTTCTTCGGCCTTGCCTAATTGAATCATTGACATCAATCATGAATCTCTTCTGGTCACACAGTCGACGGCCTGTGATTCAAGCTCCACCCGCCACTCAAGTTGCACCGCAAAACCCCAATGCAGCCGTTAACAGAGCGTTTGCAGCGGCAATGGCAGCAGCTGGAGCCGGCCCTCCACCGATCCCTCCCGCAAACCCAGCAGCTGCTCGAGGACAAGCTCCTGGGGCACCATTAGGCCTACCCGCAGCTCAACCCGGCCAGCCACCACATGCCGGCGCAGGAGACCCTACCCTGATCGGCACTCGACCTGATGGTACTCGACAAGACTTTCATCAAAGAATGCGTGAATTTGAGCAACGCTTCGCTGCGGCCACTACTCCCAATCCCGGAGGCCCCAACTCTGCGGCACCAGGGTCTATCACCCAACTTAGGCAACAGGCACAGACAAGGAACAATCCTTTGCTCCAATTTGATCTGTCGGCTCATCCTACCCCAAGCCCTAGTAGACCCATAGCTGGCCCCCACCACCTGAGACTCCGCACCAATCCGGGCTCTCGTACTAGTAGTAACGGTTTCCCAACATTCCCATCTTCGCGAACAAGTGTGGAACGGAAGAATTCTCAAACTTCTACGGACCAACCTCAAGCTGGAGCAACATCCAAGGACCAAGCCAGCTCGTCAGCCAAACCCGCAACTAGTCTTCTGGTTACTCCGCGACCTCAGTCAGACGCACCAAAAGATACAGTGGAAACAGCTCTACCTGCCTGTCCAGAAGACACGTCAACGCCAGGTGACTCTCACAATGCCCAACAGCAGAGCACTACTATCTCATCCACAACCTCGACAGAACAATCTTCAGATAAAGAGCTCACTTCGCCTAAATCACTCGACTCGGAAAGAATCGCACCAGGTCTGGTACAGCCCGCCTCACTCGCAGAGATGAGAATTGATTTTGGTGGATTGAAAGAACAGAAGCCCCAACTGCCATGTTTGATCCCCTTATTTGATCATCACCAACGGCCCTCTTTTGTCCCAGCCTCCTCGTCGTCGTCTTCTTCCACATTCACCAACCAAGCACTTCTTCAGGAATACCAACAGAAGATCATCGAGTTTGGCGGTAAAGGGCATTCCGCGTCGTTTGTCGGTGAAGCGGGTGGTGCAATCCAGGATCCCAAGACGGCTCAGCTGCTCGAAATCCAGAACAGTCTCGCCGATTGTTGTGCTAAGTTGGCTCGGTTTATGGCCCCTGACTCGGCACAACTACCAGCTGTCAATCCCGCTGGATCTCTCGATGGACGTCCACGATCATCTTCTCAATTGAACGAGATATCCAAGGATGATGGAAACGTTTCCGGGAGTCAGGGCGCAGAGGATGAAGTCCAGGTGGATCAGGTTGGGAAAGGCAAGGGCAAGAGCGATGGACAATGAATGCGTTTTTAACATATCTCCTCGTATTTCATCCTTAACACCTTGATCTACCACTTCCTCTTCTTCGGCCGGCGTCCCTACTCTTCCCACACCCCTCTTCTCTCATTCAGCTCACTGTGTTCTTGTTTCCATCTATCTTACGGATCTCTTTTTTTCCAATTCTGCTTTCTCTAATCCCATTCTATCTCTCTCTCTCTGTCTCTTACATATGCATCAGCTCTCCCCCTTTCCTTCTCTTTTTGCCTCCCCCTGTTCAAGAAAAACGGAAGGAGAAGAAAAAAAAAATGCTGCTTTTTTTGACTTTGTGATGTTTGTTCTTTTCTAAAAATGTACATATACGTATACATACATACTTTTATATAGCCTTTTTTTCATGAAAATAGATAGGTGCTGATTGATCGATCAATATCCAACAAACAAAAAAAGAATCCAGTCAGGTTATACTGAAAAAAACAAATGCAATAAACAATAAAGAATGTGTTTATGATGAGGTCATAAGAGAATCTATGTTTGAAATTTCGGCGGTTCTACATACACTACCTGACTTGATGAGCCTTCTTATGATGACAACAGCCGAAATTCTCTGAAAAAATGCATGAGTGACTGTGTCTCCTGGGCGGTTCATCCGTACTTTGTGTGTGTCACTGTCACTTTGGGAATGACCGAATAGGAAGTGATTGGAGTGGGATGAAGTGCTCCAAATGTATTACATTCTTACAGGTTGGTGGAATCTGTGGGCAGCTTCCGAGTTGCGGTTGAGATCACCAAATTGATTTGTGCCAGTGGCTTGTTTTCAGTTTGGTTTGGAATCTGAGTGGGCCTGCTGTGGGTCAGAGTGTATGCGCTGTAGTTTTGGCTGGTTTTGGTCCTGGGTTTTGGTTTGGTTTTGGTCTGGATGAAAAGGGCGAATGGTCAAAGCGGCAACTGGTCAAGTCAAGTCCGACTGCAGTCAGTTTATCCTCTTATCTTCCTTCCTTCCTTCCTTACCTCCTTCCCTTTCTTTCTTTCTTCTTCTTCTTTATCATCTTCAACAGCTTATCATCATCATCATTCCCTTTCTACTACTCCCCACCAGAAAAAAAAACTCAAAATGTCGTCCAGAAACAACCTCCTCAAGCCCATCTCACTACTCATCCTGACCACCATCAGCTCACTCCTGATCATCAAGACGGCCATCAACTCGATCCCATTCCTGAGACTGCCCACGTCGATCGAACTGATCTCCAACCAGATCCATGACCTGCGAACCTACTCCAGCACATCCACCACCAACTCACTCCATCTAGCACTCGTCCTCTCCATCATCTTCGTCTCCAAACAAGCATTCTCAGTCCCTGGCACTGCACTCCTCAACATCCTCATCGGCTCCATCTATCCCATCTGGATCGCAACCCCGCTCAGCTGTCTGCTCACCGCACTCGGTTCCACCGGCGCTTATCTCATCGCTCTCACCGCCAGACCGCTCATCGTCCTCCTCATCCCTCGCCCCCTCAAACTCATCCAACGCGCCGTAGACCCCTTCAGGATCAACGGCACCACCAACAGATACCATACCGCCGAACTCAGCTCGTACCTCCTCATCGCCAGGCTCCTGCCTATCGTCCCCTATGCCGCTCTCAACCTGGCCTCGGGCGTGCTCGAATTGCCTCTCATTCCTTTCTTTTGGACGATCCTCATCGGCTCATTACCTTACAATCTACTCACCACACAAGTTCAGTCATAAAATCACACTTGCAAACATACATCTCACATGAAACTTACTTCTTTTGTTTCTACAGCTCGGCGATATTCTCAGGACGGCCTCCGAATCTTCTGCGTCTTCAGGAGGACTTCATCCCGCCAGTCTAACGGAGATCTGGACCCTGGGGCTGCTGCTGAAACTCGCCTCCCTATCCGTCCTAGCGATCCTGCCGATCCTATTCAAGGAGTCTCTCCGGAACGCGATCCAGGCAGTCACTCAGGGTCGCGCGCGAGCGGATGGACATCGGATCTCAGAGGAGGAAGGTGGGGGCCGCCGGAAACGAGTCGACCAGAGTCCCACCGAACTCCTTCTCTCGCCCATCCTCTGTCCCCAACACCACGAACTCATCGACGACGAGCTCGACCAACTCAGCCCTTCGACATCTACCTCCTCCTCCTCTTCTCTTTCTTCTTCTTCTTCTTCTTCAGACGAGCTCATCATCCATCTTCACTCTCCTAACCGCTCCCCCACACTCACTAATCATCTTAAACTCTCCCCCTCTACCCATCTCCCCGTCGGCCTCGCTATCCTTAATCATAATCCTCATTCTCTCACTCATCACCATCCTGCTCACGCTTCCATCTTCGACCTCCCCTATCGCAAGGTCGCTAAACTTCACGATAAACCTGCCAACTTCTCGCCGTTTTCTTAATATTCAGTTTACCTCTTTCGGAACTTTTCTTTCTTTCACTCTTCCTATTCGGATTTCGTTCTTTTCTATTTTATCCTTATCATCATCGTTTATTCTCATTCGTCTTTCTCTTCCTCTTTATTTTATTATTCTTATTCTTATTCGTATGTGTTGTATTTGATATATATTTTCTCTTTATGTGTGGATGTTTTGGACTACGTACTTGGTCTCAAAACAAACAAAAACCTTCGGAATTTCCCTTTTTTTTCATAACTTATCTCTTTGATTTCTCATTTTTTTTTTCGTGTCTTCTTCTCTTTTTTATTTTGTTCTAAGCGCAATCCAAATACACAAAAACAGTACAAAACAAAATTCAAAAATTTAAACTGCACATCTACTATCTGTGTTTTTCAAGAAAAGAAGAAAGGTGAAAGGGCATAGGAAGATCAAAACAATGAACAATTGAGCTATGCACATAAGGGAATCCAAACAATGAGGTGACGCAGATGATTCCAACACAAACCCCTGGAGAAGAAAAATTACAAACCTCCTCTCTCACAAATCGAATACCCGCAAAAAAAGGGTTAGGGTCATCTGCAAGCAAAGCCAACAGAAGAAGATTGCCATTGGACCATGGCATCATCATCTGATGAGACAGACTAGGTCTGGGTCACAAGAAGAGATAGTGGAAAGGATATTAGGATTACTTCAGTGATGATACATAATAGAGATTGAGACTTCACAAAACATAAGGAAGAAAGAGAATGAAAAAGAGACAGAGAAAGAGAAAGAGACAATGAACTGAGCTAGACTTTTACCTGGGGGAAGATTTCTTGGGGCATCTTCTATTGTAAACTAGGTCATCATCACATTACATCTTTCTGTAATAATACGGGGGGGGGGGTTCCAGATCTGGGTGCAAGTGACTTGCAAAAATGTATCCTGCAAGTCACTCTGAACCAAACACCATGCATGATGAGTTTCCAAGATGGCTTTCTACTAGCCATATATAACCTTACAATCAATACTGGCAACTCAACATGCCCACTTTTTTGTGCAGATTCACTGTCTAAAATCCATGCAAGGCATTTGCACTCAACTCTGAATCCCACTAATGATATCTTTAGTCTTACACCAGAGACCACTATTATCCTTTTCACTTAGGTCTTCTTTCCTTTCAAACATTTTTATTTTTGTTGTTGGGTTGTCTTCATTTTACGTATTCTCAGAAATGCATTCTTGATGATTGTTGATTCACAATCAGATTCACAGATGGAGATCACAGATTGGTAGTTTGAAGTGGTGAGTTTCTGGCCAGAGCTCAGCTGGATCTGATTGGTTATTGGGTGTACATAACAACCAAATCGGCGGTAGGTGTTGTCCCCCAAGAGGTTGATATGCCAGCCATTATTTGTGTCATTTTTATCGGTTGGAATTCCAATCAAGCTCAAGAGGATTAGCTGGTTTGTCACCTTCATTCAACAATCCCCAAAGTTTTGTTCCATGAAAATCACTTTTAATCATGCATATTTACCCCATTCACGTAGGGTGTTTTTATCAACGAGTCTGAAAAGTCGCACTGCTTGTTGCTTCAACTGTTTGCTTATGTTGTGCATGGGACTTCACCAAAACTTTAAGCAAGATGTTGTTTAGCATTGCTTGTCGCAGAAGTTTTATTTGTGAACAAGCAGCTATGTGAACTGGCTTATTTTCCTGAAAGTAAAAAGTTTTGTGTCATTCAACATCCAAACTTTGGCCTTGATTCAACAGGACATTACATGACTCGCATTTTAGCTAGCTGGACAATCAGCACCACCAGCTTGCTACATAGTATCCAAAAAGGCAGTAAAATTTATGAAAGAATTTGGTCAGAACAGCACTGAACCAGCAGATGGAAACAGCATGATCATCAAACTTGTCTCTGAGATATCTCACATTTATCATTAAAATTTTACAAATTTATCAGAAATCTCAAATTCCTCTGAACTTGATGTTTCATGAAATTTTTCAAAATTCATAAAATTTTCTCTTCAAGTGCGTTAAAAGTGGCCTTGAACTCCAGACGTGAACCGGCCTATTTTGAGAGAATATGATAGCAACCAGTTATAACCAACAAGCAAGATTTTTCGTGGAAAAGCTACCAATTTTACAATCAAATTTTATCAAACCAGCATAGCAGCTGATCAGCAGACCTGCTAAAAGGTCAGATCTGAACCGTCCTAGTAGGACTGTTCACGTCTTAACTTTTTTGGCAAATTCCTTGGCATTCACATATCATTGAAATTTCACAAATTTGTCAAAAATCTCAAAATACTCCATAACTGACACTTGATGAGGTTTTCCAAAATTTGCAAAGTTTTATCTACAAATTTGCTAAAAGTTGCCTTAAACTTCAGTCGTGAACCATCTTAGAAAGAGAAAGAGAAAGTATTTACAACTGAGAATTCTGAGCCCACCCGTGACATATTCAGGTGGCAGAAACAGGCGCCGACATCTTCACTTGAAGTTTGATGTTGGGCTGACGTACTCCCTAGGCCTAGTATTAACGCTTGATGTAGATGTTTGAAGTCGTTGGCACGGCCAACAGACGACCTAAAATAGATTGGCCTATTTTTTGTCTCGAGTCTTACAACAAAAGGCGCCTATAATTACCGAGCTTCTTCAACGGGAAATGTGCTTCCAAATCGGGTTCATGAGTTATCATGAAGGAGGCGTTTGCTCGGGACTGGTGTGTTCGCCGGTTTAATCGAATCTGCTCGAGTGCTTGATCGACCGTGCCAGCAGTGTGCTTGGCACTGCCTCCTTGCGCTGTGACCATCTTAATTTGGCCATTCATGAAGCTGAGGATGAGATGATGTCATCCCAATCTGCTGCTGCCCTGCATACAAAATCAGACTGAAAGCCAACTCACAAACTTATCCCCTCCACCAAATCACAACACCCACATCACATTACCTTTAGTAGTAAAACTGTTAAAATGTCCTTCTCTCTGCGAAGAGCAGCTCAGCTCACTCAGTCCATTCGAACCAGCTCGAATCCCATGAGATCCTATGCAGCCTTGGCGGGTCATCTTGCCGAGAAGGTATCTTGTTTTCCTAGAAGAATAACCGCTTGACCAACATGCTCACATCATTCTCCCTTTGACCATTCCTCATGACCACAACCAGCCTTCTCGCGGGTCTGATGTAGCCTGGATCGTAAGCAATATTCCAAGATTGAATGATGAAGACTGGATCCAGATTACAGTCAAAGTTAACGAGCGTCTCTCGGAAATGATTTGTACATACATAGCTTGCAGCGACGGCGATCTTTGTGCCCACGATGGGATATTTGATGAGTCCCAAGGCTGCCCAACACTCGTCGACGAGCCATGCCCATCCGGTCGAGGATAAATGGTCCCGCTCGTTCGCGCTCGAGGATCTCAACTCGGCCAAGCTTAACAGACCCATCATGGCTGAGGATGACGGGATCGCGCCTGCTGGTGAAGGCAGACCACATGGTAAGAGACGGGTCCTTCCCACAACTTGATTCATACGTACCAAGCTCACCGTTCTTTCTTGTCCACTTTCCTGACGCTGTAGGTCCTGGTGATAAGAGCATCAGACAGATCACCAAGCCTACCGAAACTCATGCAGGCCACCAGGTCTCCATGCACAAAGAAACCGAAGAGATCCGAGTACGCCTTCCTATTTTGAACATCCAAGTTAGTCACTTGACATCTTCCTGACTCTGAGTCTTTTCCTTTCCTTCTTCTGTGCCGGCACTGGTAATTATCGGCTTAGGGAGGATCGGGTAAAATGGAACATGCTCGGGCGTTGAGCGCTCAGAGAGACTCACAATCTACTACTATCGACACTAAAGCTGTTCGAGCTCGCGCCGCTGTCGACCATCAAGATAAACATTCTTCTTAAAAACCAAGACAACGAACGGACCCTCCCTCCCTTTTTTTTCAAAGAAAATCTACTTACCATATCATCATTTTTTTCTGATGTCATATGGTCCAGAATCTATTGTTGACTACATCAATGTGTGCTTCCTGCTGAACTTTCGCAATTCTTTCTTTCCATGTAAACCTCCCATGAGGCTTGTTGTATTTGTATCTCAAAATCAGCTTTGAAAAAAAATTATTGATTCTCACTTTTAAGAGTTAACTTTGACAAGGTTTTTAAATTAACTTGTGTTTCTGATCAAGAACAAGTGAGACTTTATTTTGTTGAAATTAAATCAAAATTCATTTTAAATTGATTTAGTTCATCAGAAACTCTCAAAAACACAAGTGTTTTTGATTCTCTTTTCCCAAAAAAGAAAAATGCTTGTTTTGATAAATTGGGTGGAGAAGACTAATTGTAGGAGTTGATTGTCAAGCCAACGGAATTCCAGGGAAAAAATACCAACCTAAAAAGGTTGAGATTCTTGATGAAAGTGGGATTCCAGTTGGATCAGAAATAACAGGGAATGACTCTATAAAGGATTTAGAGAAGCTTAGTAAAACTTTGAGTGAGTAAAAGAAATAGCTGAAGAAGCTGCTCTTCTGTGGATTCTCAGTCGCTGTCAGCAATTATTGTTTCACCACAACAGACTAGCTTGTTTGGTTATAGCAACCAAAAGGCTCTTTCTGTGCATAAGTTCCTACATCAGAAGAGATCAGAAGCTTTCCTTTTTGCGGATAAGGAATATTCAGTCTATAGAGTCTTTTCAGAGAACAAGAGTGTGATTTCAGAAAAAGAAGTAAGATGCTATTAGTATTCAAAAAATCAAGTTGTGATGATTGAATCTGTTGTTCATCATGTTCTGGGTATTTACTACAAAAATACAAACTGTGAAAAAACTGACTCAAGCTTTTGGAGAAGATATAAATGCCTTGCTGCAAATATCTAGTTTTGGGTACCAGAGACTTATAATCAGTGGATTCAAAAAAGTCCAACACTAGCAGCAGGTTGGTTGGTAGAAATGCAGGACAATTACTATATGTGCCAGCAAACTCAAAGGATATTCACAAAAAGAATGCATACCCAATGTGTTCATTTGATGCATTTTCATACAAAAAAATATACTGGAAGAGATGGCAAAAGAAAAGAAAAAAATGTTTGTTCATGATTGTTTTCATTATAAGAAACTCCCAGTCCAAGGAATTGGATATGGATATATTATCAAGGATTAAATTGGGATGATCACCAGCTGAAGCTCCTCCAGAATTCAAACCAAGTCTTGATTTCAAAATGAACATGAAAAAAATACATATATACACAGAAGATGTGCTCAATAAGTGGTCTGGTTGCTACAACACATACCAAAGCCAATGGTGCAACAGATACAAGACATGCATTTGTATCGTCGGATCGTATCGTATTTATTTTGAGCCTGATACCGGTATCAGTATTTCCTTGGTTGGTGAACAAATATATTGTATCGGATTCGGATTTACAAATGAAAAAAAATCTGTCTTTGTTTTTTTTGTTTTTTCTTCAATACAACCAAATATCTTATGTATCAAATACATTTTTGGTGGGATCAGTCATCTGAGACAATACAGAATACTTGTCTCACTTTCCAAAGACGATACGTGTGTATTGTCTCAGGAAAGTGAGACAACACAAATCTGGTATTTTTGGGTATTCAAATTCTGAGACAATACAGACAAACGCCTGATACCGTATCGTATTGTCTCTGTTGCACCGTTTCCAAAGCCAAGAATTTCACGACCTTTATCAATCAACTATTTTTGATAAAATTGATTGAATGTATCATTTCATTTGGTGATTCATCAATGAATACACATTCAATCAGACATCTGGGTTGCGATGGTTGGCAGAAAAGGTTTTACAATCTACAAATATCAATGGAATTGTATATCAACTTCATTCTTTTATAACCAACCAAGACAGATCAAATAAGTCTCTGTTTGGTCGCCCAAGATATCAGATATCAATATTGGAGAATCTTGCAGATTATGCCAGGGGGGGCGGGGATTATAAAAATTGTGAGAAAAGTGTTTGCCAGGTCACATCATAACAGCTCATTTGTCACGTAATACCAATACTTACCCTGATAATGGATTTGCACGGTTGTGTGATAATTGGATTAAGGTTGATAAATCTTAAATCTTATTATAAGGATTTGCATATAACAATGTATAACATTTAACAGAGCCTAAGTCATCAAATGTTTTACAAAAATTTGATGACTCCTTATATTATATTCATTGGTTTCCAGAAAGTAAAATCTAAAGTTTGCTTGTCAGAATGTTTCTCTCGAAAGGGAATCCAAAAAAAGTACTATGGATTTAGAAGGCCATCTGGTAGCAATGCAGATGATTTGGTGATCACACAGGAAGATATTCTCTTGACAGAAATTGTGTTTAATACCCTAGGGTTTTGATTACAAGAATCAACATATTGAAAAGTGGGAACTCATCTTGAAGACAGAAGATTGTATGCTTACTTTTTTTGACTACAATCAGTAGTGCCAAGTATAAACATACAGAGTATCAAGTTTTCCATCCATATAACTTCTACTGTAAAAACTATTGCTTGGTTTCATCAATTCAAGTAAGTTGTTCTTTTTTCTGAAGATCTTTGTTGATCTGAGGCCCTTTTCTAACTGCTTGATTCTTTCTTATTCTGCTCTAATCCCTTCCCCAATTATTTGCAGAAAACCTCAGCCTCAATTTCACCTTCTATTCTTCCCAGTTCAATCTTCCCCCTCCTTCTCTGTTGATTAAAAAAAAACTATCTTGCATCCTTTCAATCCCATCTACCTGAATTCCTAATTTCAGGTTTGTTTTTCTTCCTTTTCTTCTGAATCCCCCTGTTTTAACTTTGTTGATGTTATAACAGACAATTTTTTTGGTTGTTTACTTCAATTTGTTTTTCCATTTACGTCCCTCTTCAATATTTCTTTTTTTATATCCATTCCTTTTAAGTCTTTTCTTCCTTTTTTTATATTTTTGCATCCTTTAATTATGGATTCAAGTTTTCCTTTATCTGAACTTTTCTTTCAAAACCTAGCCCTAATTCATTCCTGGACCATGGCTCAACCTTCCCCAATTTATGTCTGTTCCAAGGCCTTGTCTGGTTTAGAACAAATGGCGGACAAACTCAAAATCTCAATGTTATTAACTCCTAGCGGGCATTCCTGCTACGCTGGAAACACCTTTTCCCAAGACTGATTTGACTCCCTTGAAGCTGTTGTAGTAAATAATTTTGTCACCTACTGTAAAACTAACCTTCCTTGTGACTATAACAATCATGACACTTGAGTCTGGGTTTATAGATTTGAATATAAACCTGGACTTGAGTGTCATGATTGTTATAGTCACGAGGAAGGTTGGTTTTACAATAGGTGACAAATTTGTTTAAGACAACAGCTTCAAGGGACTCAAATTTGTCTTGAGAAAAGGTGTCGCCGGCGTAGAAGGAATGCCTGTTTCAAGTTTGTCGGCCATTGGTCCCAAACCAGACAAGCCGTTGGATGAAACGTAAATTGGGGATGGTTGAGCCATGGGATCAGGGCTAGGTTCTAAAAAGCTTGAATAAAAAAAAACTTAAATTAATATAGAATATCGAATTATAAAAAAAAGAAGAAGAAAGAAAGAAAAGACTGACAAGGAATATCAAAAAAGGTTCAAGATGAGGTTGCTCACACAGTTGCCAAAACTTTCTTCTCCCTGGTTTTGAGAGAATCCATGACGGTATTGAAAGCAACCAAGACCTTGTGGGCGTATCTGCAGGCCCCGGAGGGAGGAGCACCTGTTGGAGAGTTTGGATGCCGGTAGATTTCCCAATCTGATCACCAACTTTCCCAAAGACGGATCCGACAAGGGTGGCGGCTTTCCCAGAGACTTTAGAGGCTGAGCGGGTGAAGCCGAGGACCCTGTCAGCATTCATATGTGTGGTGGTAGAGAAGGTGATTGGAGTCGCGGCCGAGGTATTGGCTCCCGCTTTTCTTGATCATCAAACTGATCACCTCTGAGCCCGCCAGGATTCCACAATAGACCCATTCGGCTCCACTGAGGATCTGAGAGCCCCCGCCGACTGGGATTGCGCTGACTTGGGCTGTGGAATGCCCCTGGGCTTGCCCCAACGTGTTCATCAAGACCATCACTGGTTGAGGTGTCGCAAGCAAGTAGATGAGGCACTCCCGATTGCCCTCTTATAATAGGGCTTGGTGTGAGAGGCCAGCTGGGTAGGGACCAGGGTGGGGCGTGTGGGGCGATTGCTGGGCCTTGAAATGTGAGATCTGAAGTCAGTTCCCCACAGATTTCTCCGGTTGATTCATCCATCAGAGCCAAGCGTCCCTCAGATGGAAAAAGTTGCCTGGTGATTCACGGAGAAATAAATATTAATTTCACATATGATGGGTATAAAGAATTTTTTTTAAAAAAAAACAGCATACCTTGGAAGATGCACCATTGGATGGAAATTGGCTTGAGCTAATTTTTTTTCCTTAGGGAATGAAGATGAGCCTGAGGGATGTGAAGGAGGAGGCGGGGAGTGGGATTTGGAGGGGATGTGATTGGTGGAGATTAGGTTCTGATTGGCAGACTGCCGCCCGGGGTATTGGGTCCAACCGGCTAGGATGCTGTCGAGGGAGTCGATAGTGTGATCCTAGCAAGCAATATCGATCCTGACTAGAGCTTGATGACCATTCTTTTTATCGACCTCAGCTGGTGTTGCATCCCTTGGTAGGATCGGGAAAAGATAGGTTCGAGGCTGTTGGAAGGAAATCTGGGATGACAGTCATTCCGAGTCTTGCAGGACTGAGATTAGGCACATTACAGACCATCTCAATGATGTTCCCACCTCAAAAGAGAAGGAACAACACGCATCTAAGCATACTTGATGTGCTGGAGTGGTGCCAACAGCACCTCACAGTGATCCATTCCCAGACCAAAGTTATCCTTTTTTTGTCAGCTAGTTGAAAATTAACAATTGAGAATTTGAGAAACAGCCTGCTTAAGCTTCCACAGCAGTGCAATTTCATCCAAGGCTTAATCACATAATTGTGCTCAAGATTATTTTTCAAGTTCATCGAATTAAGAATTCAATACTTGACTTGCGTACTGGACTGTAATCTGTGGCTCAGTCAGGAAGGGGGCAGACTCTTTTGATCCAACAATAAAAGGAATTTAATGCCCAGCCAGAAGGATAGATATTTTTTTGGATAGTACCTTTCAAAACGGGGCATGTTGGTTGCTGATATGTATATCATGAGTTTTAGTGAAACAGACAACCCGACTTGCTGCTCAGAGAGTTTTGTGTGAGCACATGAGCAGACTCGCCTTGCTTATTAAAATCAAAATGGGAATGGTGTTACATTCAAAAAGGCTGCAGATTTATATTATTTTTCCCCCCCCCCCCCTTGCAATTAACTTACAGAGAAGACCTACTGGACCAACAAAAGATGGGTTAGTTCCAATGAAAACAGTTGGTTTCAGAACCATTTTGGTTGATTCTGGCTGACCAGGTTTGCATTCCGGCCTCTTCCGGACCCGGACGCACCCTCCGGAGTCCGAAGGAAGTGTCTTGGAGTCCTCGGACAGCTTGAGACTGCTGTGGAGTCGATAGTAGGACTGGGTATAACAGAGCATCATCTCCAGGCAGATCGGCAGTGTTGACATGTTGGTTGGACTTCATCTTTCATTCTGCACTCGGTCAAGAGAAAACAAACCCGAAAACTCTCAATCGTGAGAGCTTTGCGATGGGCTTAGCCTTGATGTAGGTGATCAGAACCTATCATTGTTGCCCTTCTCACTTCCGAATGATGATGCTTGTTCGACCTCCAGATCGAAGTTGATTCGATCTCCCCTACATATTTACTCTGACTATTTGCAGGTCACCTTATAAATGACACACGCAACCGACTGGCTTCTCCGATTCCGAAGGATGTGCGGGTGTCTGGAGTCTTCTTCGAGCTCGTTGGGAAGCATGATTGATGTCTGTCAATAACCATCCGGACGGTGTTCTCTGACTCCATGCGGTCCGCTGGAAAGGGTTGAAAGACCCCCGGAGATTGGGATCGCTCCCTGATTTCTGGTCGACCGAGTCGATGATCGATGTTCGGCTTGGTTGAGTATTGATCCAGTCGAGACAATTTCGAATATTGGGCTTTCATCAATCAATCGATCAATCGATCGAAAGAGTACTGCAGCCCCCCACAGCCACCATCTAATCATCATGACCGCTCATCTCGAACCCATCTTCCTGTCTTCTCCTGGCCGGGAATCCCTCGAGGAATTCTACAAGTTTGTCTATCTTTGAGCCTCTGAATCCTGATCCATCCACTGGCCGATGGATTGATGATCTCTCTCCTGCTCGATTACAGATTGGTTTGTATCAGACTCCTTATTCGAAACAGACTCGCTAAGCAGGGACACGCTGATGTCCGTCATAGGCGAGCATGTAGTTCTCAGCGGGAACCAGCCAAGATGCCGCTCTTCCTATTCTCCAGACTGACAGTGATGATCAGCAGTCAGCCGTGTGTCGGAATGGTGCGTCGTGGCTCGCAAGGAGAAAGGAAGAGATTCCTCCCATCCGGGTCAGTTTTTTCACTTGATACATATTTATGTCTGTCCTATGACTTGCCCATCTGCCAATTCCCCTACCCCTGGATGGACGGATGGCCGTTATTTTTGTACATAAGACCGGCATCGAACGACCGATTAAAAATATCTTTCGCGGTACAATCTGCATACGCGCCATATCCTAAAAAAGAGGCTTTTTTTTCTTTCTAAAACAACTTCAAGTATGTAGCAGAGCTATCCTATCCGCGCGCTAAGCCTGTATGTCTCTCAATCCCGCTGCTATTCCATAAATCCGTGTGGCTGGGCTTCCCTCCATCCACAAGGCTATGTGAGGAAATTGTATATTCTCTACGTGTTCACGTGAGTACATAAAAAAAAAAAACTTTTGATCTCTTTCCCTTCAAGAGTGATCTCAGTAGAATAGACTTCCCGGTTCCTCCCGTCTCCTTTATCTCCCGTCTCCTTCTCTCATCCGTTCACTTTTCCAAAATTATATTGAGTTATACTTATACACACGACACCAATCCCATTAAATATTGACATCCAACCCCACAATCGTCCAGCAGATTCATCACCCGCCGTCCTTCCTTTCGAGCCTCACCGTACAAATTCCTATTCCTGGTCAAATCGATCGAGACACTCACACAAGCAAATATACTGCACCCCAGCGAGATCATACCTGCTCCCGGCTAGGCGCTGCTCTAACGCACTGAAATAGTTCTCCATCCCTGCAAGCTTGCTTGTCAAATATTTCTTTTTTTCTTTTTTTTTGTCAAATACATTCTGAAAACTTGCAACCCCACTCTGCTCAACTCTGATCTGGATCTATAACATAACTTTCCCCGTCAGTCTACATAGTCATCCTTGTCTCATTTCTTACCAAATGATTGGCAATGCTCATCTGAATCTACTCTCCCATCTGATGAAGAATTGAAACAGATTGTTATCCAGCGATGTCTATCCCATTAATCTACTCCACTCAAATCCTTCAACATCAGTTCTCAACTCCAACAAAACAAGACATCACTCATTTATCAGACTAATAACAATTGCAATTCTAATCCTAATAGCATGAAACCTTCACCATCCTCATCATCCTCATCAACACCACCCTCCAACCTGCTTACCGTTCCAGAGACCAAAGCCCTACTTATCTCACCCTCGCCACCAACGAGGCCGCCTAGGAATCCTTGGAGGTCAAGCTATCAGCCTCACCCAATCCTCACATCCAACCAGACTGCTCATGATAATCATAATCACAATCACAATAATAATAATAATAATAACGCTCAGCCTGCAACTGCCACTACCTCATCAACTTCAACTTCAAAGCACCGTACACAACCCTCATCGAGCTCTCTCCTTTCCATCCTTGAGCACCCTTCAGATCCTTCTCGTCATTGCCGGCATCCATCTCAATCAACATCCTCCGATCCTCGCCCAACAAGATTAACAAACCACATGTCCTCGTCTCCTGGTAGTTCCAGTTATCAGGCACACAAATCTCATAGACGTCACTCTTCTGTAATATCTGCCCTCAACTCACCCCAGCCAATCATTCCCTCAGCCAGCCCTAGAAGACCGATCAGCTTTCATCAACAGATTTCACTTGCCCCGCCTTCAACCACAGCAACAGCAAGATCCTCCCCAGGCTCTATCACAAAACTCTTGACTAGAAAACTCAGTTTCCTTTCCTCCCGAAAAGCGCACGTCCCCCCAACCTCCCCAAGTGGACTGGCTTCGATTGCTCCCCCACAGTCACCCAATCCGATCACACCATCATCGCCAGCCCCTCAGACAGCCCACAACCCGGGTGATGATTCAGAAGAGGCCGAGTTTACCAGTGCCGATGAGGGAGACGAAAATTTCTGGAAACATTTAAGGGTTCCTTCTCCACCTCGCCATTCTTCTCCGCACCCCGCCAGCCTCCACTCAACTAGCAGGTCCACCATCTCGCACACCGAACCCATCCCCACGCCTCCAACAAGATTAGACAATCCACCACTCACGAGACAATATCGAATCAAATACTCCGACCTACAACCTTGCTCCCAGACGCACACCAGCCCGTCTGATGAAGCTAAACCTCAAATAACTTCCAATCGCAATTCCACTTATCAATCCTCCATAAGATTCACCTCACCCACAAGACACAGAGAACCGACAACTAAGAAGATCCCCGCTGAATTCAGAGCAGGTAGAGTATTTGTCAGATCATCTCAAATTTTCACCGAGCCCATTGCGTTATCCTCTTCAGACCCATCTACTGCGTCTGTCGAGGAATCCGAGCAGGACCATAGTAGCTCTAGCTCAAACAAACCGAACACTCCATCATCCTATCCGAATCAACCTGCTACCAGTCCTATAATATACCCCTCAATCCTGTCAAGCTCCCCGACCGAAGATGAAGATCACAGTCTCACCAAGGACTGTGGCATCCTCTCTCGAATCTCAGAACCATTTAATGCTTTGTTGTCTGCTCCAAATACATGTCTCTATCCCCGACGATCGCCTTCTTCCTATTCTCTTGCGCATCGCTTCAACTCTGGTGTTCATAATAATCGATCGAGCCCCAAATCAAACTCTAACGGAGATACAAACCAGGACGGGCTTCTACAAGCGACACCCACACCGAAATTGCCTCCGGTAAAGAAATCGATCAGTATGACATTTAACCTCCGTCATGTCCCAAAATTTTTAAATCAACGAGCCAAGTCGGATCATGTGACAGATGGCGAAAAGGTGGCATCTTATCCTAAGCCGTCCGAAGTACAAATCGTCATGGCAAATCTATCTCCACCTGGTCTCAATGATTTATCCCCCACGTGGCGCTCCCTGGTATCTCCTGATGAATTTCTTCGACTCGAACAGCGCTTTGGCGCGGTCGAAATGAAGCGACAAGAGCTGATCTGGGAACTGTGTCGAACCGAGCTCGGTTACGTGGACAGCCTGAAGATGATCATCACAACTTTTTTTCAACCATTGAAGAAGACTCAACCGATCACTCTAAATGAAAAGTCGGCAAGTCAGACTTGGTCGGGCATCGTTCCCGAATTAATCACCAACTTGTTTGAGAATCTGGAAGAAATCTGCAATTTACACCAAGAAATTTGCGAGTCCATTGTAGAAAATCAAGCAGCCCATCAAATTCCCGATCAATTGTTAATACTGGATGACCAACTTCAAACCGCCAACGAGGAGGATCATACCGTGATCCTCAGAATTTCTGAGACGTTCCAGAACTATGTTGATCGGTTCAAAATCTATCAGAATTATCTGATTCGCTTTGAATCTGTCCATCAACTCATTGATCAGCTCACTAAAGATCCAAACTCTCGATTTGGCGCATTCATTCGCGCCCGTTCTCAGTTGGAAGAATGCGGCAAGATGAGCTTCAACAGCTTTTTATTGAAGCCTGTCCAACGGTTGATGAAATACCCACTGTTTTTCAAGGTGAGTCTTTAAACAGCTTCTTAATACTTTTGATTGCTTCTTATGTAAATCTGTCTGATTGGATGCTAAAAGGAGGTATATTTTGTAGCAACTCTGTGACGTTACTCCTGCTTTACACCCAGACCACCTAGCCGGACAACAGCTATGGAAATCGACAGATCAGACGATCAGAGAAATGCAACACGCCAAAGTACATGAAGAGGAACTGGCGTTCTTAAAGTCGATTGAAAGCCAGATCGTTGGACTCTCAGGGAGCTTCAAGTTGGTTAACGGTAAACGAAAGCTAGTCAGGCAAGGCTTTGTACGCCGAGTCCATGATATAAGTTATCTTGCTCAAAAACAGCAACTCGAATCAGATGATGATACGCATCATTCGCGGAAACCCCTTCGTACGAACTCCCCTCGACGTACTACAATCTCCTCCTCCTCTTCCTCGAGATCATCATTAACGGCAGTCGACAAACGTCTGCGGTCTCGTTCACAACTCTCTGATGACTGGAGCCTCAGCGATCATGTCGGCTTTCGATCAAGTATGAAGAGTGCTTTTTCATCCCCGGGCAGTAACCTCCTATCAGATGGTCATTCCAGCTCACAGAGATTGTCAAAGTCTTCCTATACGAGCCTCAAAACCTCAGTCGTGCATCAGGAGAATCCTCCATCGCGTTTCGAATCTCAACGACAGCGACACGTCCCTCTTCCTGCTCGTCCTGGCCAACAAGTTTCCCCATCGTTACCGGCCTTGTCACCGCCCCTTGGCTCATCAAAGATAATCTCTCGCCCCAAGCAGCTGGCACCATCATCATCATCCAAGACAAAGGTACCAAAGCCCAAGATGTCCCTCAATCCCAAGTCGAGTCTCAAGTCAAATGAGATAAAAGTCGACCAACTGCCTATTCATCATTCTTCGGATAAGCGCCAAGGTCGTATCTCAGATCCGGTTGACCGAAACTTGAAAACGAAACCATCCTCATCCTCATTATCATTATCTTCACGCGACCGACGGCAAGGTAAGAGTGCGAAGGAAGTTAAGACATCCGGCCGACCCAAAGCTGTGGAACCCTTAGGGCTTGAACAGGAAGATCCCCAGAGTCAGGGACAGGAGGAGAGTCTGTATCTATTCATGTTTTCAGATGGTCTACTCCTCTTGACGCGTCCAATAGCGGATCCTCGTGAACAGCCCCTCAAGCCTAGCCATACGGTAAAGCCTCAGCTGTTCAGATTGGTCGCCGAGCCACTTGCGCTCTCCTCCTTGCTCGGCTTTTGCGTCCTGCCATCTGATCTTCTTTCGCATCGTCAGTGCACTGTGCAGCAGCGCTCTTCTACCAATGACGGTCACTGTCCGAAGCCAGAACCTCGACGTAAGCCTTATCATTCAGCTTTCTTCGCCTTCTTTTGTTTCTTTCTCTTTCTCTTCCGACATTGTTTTCACGCACAAGTCCAGGTTATTGCTATACTAAACGTACGAAATCATTGATTTAGGGCTAGAATTCGAGAAGGAGAGCAAGGAGACGAAAGGCTGGACTAGTGGAAGTGAGGGAGGGGCCAAAAGAGGCAGACGCGGGAGAGCGAAAACCGGGCCGGAGCCGTCAAGGATGGCGTCCCCTGGACGGGTCGAGCTGCAGCTCAGGCCTGTCGACCATTCGGAGGGTGATGATGGTCTTCTGGACCAGGAAATTCTCACGCTCACACTCGGGCTCCCTGGCCCCTTACCCGCCTCAATCACACCTTCTGTCTACTACGCCCTCGCCCTTGACCAGCCCAAAAACGTCACCAATACCACCCTAAAGGTTGCAAATGCTCTCAATGTTCATAATGTTCATGATCCTGTTAATACCAATGATGCTCAGAAGCTTTCTCATGACTTCATGCACATCGACCCTTCCGTTGGCCTGGTTTCACTTGCGCAGTCCGAACTCATTCACTCCCTAACCCTCATCTTATTCCCTTAGTTAACCTTCATACTCATTATTATCATCATCATCATTTTCTCTCTTTCACCATCTTGAAGTACGCATTCTTTTTCTTTACGTTTCTTTCTATCATTTCAACGTTTGTCTTTCTTTGATAGGTTGAATATTTGTCTTTCTTCTTCAGAGTGAATATTTTATTTTGCTTTACAACGTAAATAATCTTGATCTTTCTGTTTTGTACCAGATTACATAGATATGGCCTCTATTCTTATTTTTGGTTTTTAACTCTCTCTCTCTCTCTACACCCACCATCCTCTTTTTCGTTTTGTGGCATCATTATTTTCGCTTCTTTTATTTTATTGTGATTGTTGATTTCTTTCTTTCTTTCTTTTTTTTATCTGTTTTTTTTTTTGGTTTGTTTCATAGATATGAGCGATGGATCTATTAATATGCCTGTGAGATAGATATAATTGACACGTTGATACTACGTGCTGCATCACTATAACAAATACCTGAAATAATAATCGATATCATATGATCGTTCTTTGCTAGTGCGTTATTTCCCTGCCGTCATTCCTTCGAGGAAACTTCGAGATGATGCTGTTATTCATGCGAGGATTGAAAAAAATTGGCTGGATGCCGGAGCATGAATGGCGCAGATTCTTGAATCCAGACGTGTTCTTCCCAAGATTCTCTCAGCACCTGAAAGGGTCGTCTGCGCCTCAAGACAAGTCAACTTGTGTTAGGGAAATCCAAGTTTTATCCACGTCACTCGCATCGAAGAATTCACGGTGCTGGAAATCTATAAAGGAGAGTTGAAGATCAATATTCACTGACACTTACTGCGCCTGACACCAGACTGTTCACACTGAGCTTCAATATATTTAGGTATGGCTTTCTTGAATGTATCGTGCTGCCACCAAATGAAGTCACCGCGAGAACAAAGCGCAGCGAAAGCTCCAATACCTATATCGAACACGTCAACCGATTCAAAACTTCAAGGCTGTGTTTTAACGCACATAGGCTCTAGCTCTAGTCATTGATTCATACGATTCTCAGGGATAAATCAGGAGATTGTTGTCTCCTGGTGCTTTCAAAATTCTCGCGAGAACTCATCATTTCAGTCGAGCAAAATGCACGGCTCAATCAATTACTTACTTCTAACCTTGTTTCACCCCCACCTCGTCTTAGGAAGCTTCAGTTTAGATCCCAAAGCCAGCGCCGATGCAGCCTCGGAAGGGGCAAGACAGCTTGACGTGCTTGGAGCCGACCACCAACATTCATCGACTCTATCACAGTTGCTTCCCGATTCCGCCCATGATCAACTTCAAGAGAGGGTCAGTCTGCCTCTCCAAGTGCACTCAAGCACAATACCGCTGGAAAAAACAAGAGGTTTGGGTACGTCGAGCTCTATCACTTTTCATTTTCCCTTTTGCTTGTGGCATGATTCATCGAACTATCTCATCCTTGGTGGATTCCAGAAAAGCCTTCCACCTCGGGTGATTCAATCTCCAGTGGCTTCAGTCAAGGGAGGAAAAGACTGGCAGGTGAACAGCTGGGTTTCCAACCTAAAGGAGATGGCCACATTCGTCAGTCTGCTTCAAAGAAACTGAATCTATCCTGGACACCTCGTGTGAAGCAAGAAGACCTCAAGATCTTCTTGGGTCCATCAGAGTCCACATTGAAGGAACCGGGTCCTGATGGTAAATGCTTTGTAATCATTTTGCATGAAAGTATAGAGACAAATCGACAAGCACAGAGCACACTTTAACATCTAAATCTTTGTCCTCTCAGAAGGAATGAATTCACAACAGGCGCCTCTCCGAGACACAAGTAATATTCAAGTAAATCATCAAGACCCAAGTTTTACACCTCGGGCAAACTCTGCGGACCAAGATGCAGGAAAATTGACAGGGTACAGTCCGGTGAACATGGAACTTGTAATTAGAGCATTCAAGCCACAGGGCGTCAATAAAGATTTTTGGGCTTGGATCCGGATCATTTCACACTACGTTTCCGTAGAAAGAGAAATCGATCAGCATGTTCGAAAATCTTTGAAGATCCTGAAACCTTCCCATTCCATAATCAATCAATGCTATCAGAACCCATCCTCCAATTTACAAAAAAACTCAATCCTAAAACTTGCTGCTTTCTTATGGTGTGTCAATCTTAGAGTGCTTGAACTCATAGGTGCTCCTCAAGGAAGTGAAGCTTATCTCAAAGAACAGGTCCATTTTATGAAGTGGTTTGACTGGTTTATGCTGTTTTTTTCAGACAACTTAAAATTGGATCTGTCCTCAATTTATGAACAGAACCATCACATCAAACTCAAGACTCATGGCAGCTTCATTTACCAGAAGATATTGCAAGCTCTTGATTCAAGTTCAGAGAGAGAATTATATATCCTACATCATCCAAAATTAGACTCCCGCAGGTATTGCTCCCAAGAAAGACAATTTCTATTGAATGAGGCTGCTGTTCACCTTCTTGGATTTTACTACAAGAATACAAACTTCAAAAAGTGGAACTATGTCTTTGGGGAACATGATATTGACTTTATAAGGAAGTTGGGAGAATTAGGGGAACATTGGGAAGATAGTGCAAAATGTGATCTACCAACTGATTTACATCTGTTACCATGGGTAGCTCCTGCTAAAAAGGCTCTGCCTCTACTTGGTCCAAACAATCTCAAGACAAGTCATTTCAATTTCCATAAATATGTTGAAGCAATTCCTTGTAGCAATTTAATGTTTGATCTAAGAATGTTTGATAAAAATAAACAATTTCAGCTTTCAAAAGTGTTCTTTATGAATAAGGCTGAAAAGCATGACTGGTCAATAATTTCCAGCTTGAAATTAAGAAAACAGTCCAACAAGCTGATTTTGGAATTTAAACCCAGTACAAAACTAGTGTTATCAACTCAAAGAATCATTTCAGAGTATATTGAAGAACATTCACCCTCCAAGGTCAATTTGATATCTGAAAAGAGAGAGATCCTTAAGAAGCTGAATTATGCTGAACTTGAAGTCAAATTGAATGAATTCTTGGAGTTTGTGTGGGAAATCAATGGGAAGATTCTTCAGGCTATGGGGTCTGAAGTCTTTGAAGAATCATTTCTCAAGGAGCAAAGATTGGTTCAACTATTTTTTGAATTCCTTATGAACCAAAATGGTGGAGAGAATGCAGGAAACACACCACCTTCAGATCGGCAGAAGATTTGCAAGGCTTTGCAAAAACAGATCCTCCACAATTCGATAATAGAACTACTTATTCTAAAAGATACTGGTGATGGATATGCAGTAACGATTGAGGAATATGGGTTGAGGAACAACTTTTGGGTCTCAAAGAAACATAATTTATTGAGCCAGCTTGCTTTGAATATTCTTGGAAACTATTACAAGAATCAAAACTTTGAACGTTGGAATATGATCTTTGGCTCAGACAGTACTTTCATAAACTTTGTCAAAAACTTAAGTGATCTGAATAAATTTGATCAGTACGAGGAAAAACTGCTTCCTCAATTGAGATCTCAAGGACTCATTCCATGGATGAAGTAAATGTTCAGAAATATAAGGAAAAAGAGATATTTAAACTCTTTTTACATTTGGAAAACAATACAGAACAGATATGTTTTCTTGTGAATAAAATCAATGCAGTTGAAGCAATGCCACTTCCGTTTCCCATGAATATGTTGAAAGCCAATATACAATACTGGAGGATTTCCTGTGGGTTCTACAGGCCTTGTAAAGCTAATTTTTTGCTGGGAAAACGGTTTTACAGCCTGTAAAAATAGCTTTACAGGGGGCTGTAAAATTTGCAGGAAGTCCTCTCCACTCATGTTGATCAATTTCAAAAACTTCATTTTGATACTTTTTCTGGGAATACAAAACTTCTTTTTCAATTCATCATCTTAGATTCCAGAATAGTTGAACCTTTTTCTCACTGAGCTTCCTTTTTCTTTGTTTACTTTATTTCATTGTTGTAAATACACCTCAGCACAGTTGTTTGGATCTCATGCCTTTGCATATTTCCTTGATTGAATGGATGTGATCATAACAGATTCCATCCAATTTCAAAAGGCAGAACACCAGCCAAAATAATCCAAATGCTTTCTGAATTCTGGTGGAACCAAGGATTCTGACTGGTAAAAATGCCAAGGCTTCAAACTTTTGGGACAGAAACATTCATCCAGGGTCCAAGGCAGTATCCAGATTGGGCCATCAATTGCAAAGGAAGGAACCAGGTGACAGGAGTGGTCACAAAACTTTCTTGTGAAAGCGGCCACCAGACTCTGTAGATCCATGGATAAATTTCAAGTTATACACAAATGTAACAAAGAACTTGAGAAAATCTCCAAATCAGAGTTATGTCAAATATGTACTCAGTTTCTGTGTTTAAAACCAAGCATATCAATGGATATTACTTTGTTGCAACTGTGTACTGTGACAAAATCATGTCTCATCAAGGACAAAAAAGCACCAATAGCTGAAACACAGAATGAAACTTGAGATCCAGACGTTGCCACACTTGGACTGCGGATCTTAATACTCAGGGGTATAACTGAGGAGAAGCTTTGACATATATGACTGAGGAGAAAACTACACATATCCCCTGACCTTTGAAAAATCTGGTTAGAAACAGACTTGAGCCCCCAGATCCCACTTAACAAAGATGCACCATTTCTTGAATTTCACATCAATCATCTTGGTTCACATTCACTTTGTGTTGGGAAGCTTCAATTTGGATCACACAGTCAGTTCCAATGCAGCCTCCAAGAGACAAAGAAACCTTGAAATAGCTGGAGATACTATCCAACATCCATCCAAGTTGCAGCAAAACACCAACTCAGTTGATTCTCCGCTTGGTAAGAGTGCCCATTTTCATCCTCAAGAATCCCCAAGCATGGTGCTGCCAGAAAAATCAACTTCTTTGGGTGTGTTGGGATCATTTGGTTGTTATCTCTCTTTTTATCGCGGCACAATTCATTGAACTATGAGGTCTTGGTTGTTTTTCATTAAAATATCTTTCTCAGGTGCCTCCATCCCCGATGGCTTTAGAAAAGGAAGAAAACGACTATCAGGTGAGGAAATAGGTTTCCAGACCAAAGGTGATAGTGAAATTCATTGGCATACTTCAAAGAAACTCGGGGTGGATCCAAATTCAACTGGGGGTTCTCATGTGAGAGCAGAAGGTGTAAAGAACTTCCCAGTTCCATCAGATCACATATTACACCAACAGGGACTCAATGGTAAATATCTTTGAAATTTAAATCAATTATCAGACAAAATGGAGAAATAAACAGATATTTGACTCTAACAGGGAAACTTTCTCCTTGAAGAAATCAATGCACAAAAACAGATCCAAAATCCTAGTGTTGGGGTGATGCATCAAGAATCAAGCTATTCACATCAAGAGGGGCAGGTGAAGTCAATTAAATCTATCCTGGTTAAGAGTGAAAAATTTGCTGAAGAATTCAGCCCAAGAAAAACATTTCAACAAGAAGTAAATGCACCAAATAATCCTCAGAATTTGGGTAAACCAGTCAACTATCTAGAACCAGATCTTCAATCTGAGCAAAACCCTATTCAATTTTCAGGAAATGTGATGAGATCCAGTCCTATCAACATGGAACCCATAGTCAGGGATTTCAAACCAGAGGGTATAAAGAAAGGTTTTTGGGCTTGGATTGGTATCCTTTCACTCCACATTCCTTTAGGTACAGCAACACATCAACATGTAAATTCATTCTCTCAACTTTTGAAATTTTTCCATCTGAAAGACTGTCCCAATTCTCCACAAAATCCAATAATGCATTTTGCAAACTGGTTGTGGTTAGTCAATAGTAGATTGCTTGAAATCATGGGGGTTGATCAAGACACCAAAAGCTTTGTGGAGGAACAAATTTGTTTTATGAAGTGGTTTGATTGGTTCATGCTATTTTTTGGAAACCATAAATGGGATGTTTCCTCAACATTTGAAAAAGAATATCACAATAAATTTACTGAGAAAGGAGGATTGCTTTACCAGAAGATATTGAAAGCTATTCGTTCAACTTCACAGAAACAGGTATACTGGCTATATATCCCAAAAAAGACAAACCCAAATCAGTGGATCTCAGAAACACAGCTCTTGTTGAGTGAAGCTGCTGTTCATCTTCTTGGATTTTATTATAAGAATACAAACTTCAAAAAATGGAATCATGTTTTTGGAGAAAATGATATAGATTTTTTGACAAAGTTGTCAGACTTGGGAGAGTGTTGGGAAGATAGGGCAAGATGGGATTTCCCAATTGATCTAAATCTGATTCCATGGGCGAATACCTGCACACAAGAACTTCCCATAATTGGTCCAAATAATCTCAATCCCAGAAGATTCAACTATCACCCATATGTTGAACCAATTCCTTGCAATCAATTTCTTTTGGATCTGAGAAAATTTGGAAAAGATCAACAATTTCATATCTCAAAATCTTTCTTCATACCTAAAAGTCCTAAAATTTATTCATGGCCATATATATCTAGCATAAAATTGAGAAAGAACAGCAAGCCATTTCCAACATGTGGCCCAAGCAATGAGTTAATATTGTTGACTCAGAAACTCATCTCAAATTACATTACTTACAACAGTGACATAAACCAAACAGAATTGATAATAGAACAAAAGATGAATCTTATGTCACTCAATTACCTCAACATCAAAAGAAAATTAGGAAATTTATTGGATTTTATTTGGGAGATTAATGGAAAGATTCTTCAATCTATGGGCAGTGAATCTTTTGAAGAAAGTTATTTCAGGGAGCAAAGATTGGTTCAAATGTTCCTTGAGTTTTTTATGATTCAAGATGTGGGAGAGAGTTCAGGGCATGAAGCACACTTCCAAACTCAACAGAATTCTCCAAAAGGTTGTTTCCAGGATGCTATCATAGGAATTCTTGCTGATCATTTTGGTTCAGCTAATTATCAATTTACCATCAAAGAATATATTTATGTCCAAAATATATCTGTCTCAATGAGATACATATGAGTCAACTTGCAGTCCATCTCCTGGGAAATTATTACAAGAATCAAACTTTGGAAGTTGGAATCTTGTTTTTGTCTCAGATAGTTTATTTGTAGATTGATGAAAAGTTAAGCTATCCAGATAACTGTCATCAGTATGAAGAAACATTGTTTCCTAAATTGAGGTCTCAAAATCTTCTGCCATGGAAGAAGTAATTCATGAAATATTTCAGTTTATCAAATCCCATCTTGACATTCAGGAAATACTACAGCAATGTGACAATCCTTTTCAAGATTCCCCCTTTTTTTTGTTCTTGATAAAAAAAAACAATACATATGAGAATGTTTATAGCAGCAAGGAAAATCAGGATACATATATCAAGCTTGCTTTGTAGTTATTTCTCAAGGTTTACTATGCTATATACCAACTAAGATCTAGATTTCCCAAGTCAAAGAAGTCAGCCATCACGGAAATTTTCCGCCTCCATGAGACTATATCTTTTTTTTGGCTCCAAGGAGAGATGATCAGTCAGAGTTAGTCATTTATGGAAATTTTCCAGAGACTGCTTGATCAGTGTTACACTAATTGCTGGCCTGACAGGCGAGCAATCAGTTTTACCTGGCCGTTTCCGCCCAGCTGAGTTTGCCAACAGGCTACAGCCTCTAGAGACCTCATTATCTGTCTGCAGCAATACCCAATTCCTGTGCATACTTGGCCTCATTTGAGGGTAATTGGCCACCGGTTGAGTTGAAAGCAAGTGGAACGTTGGCAAGCTAGGGTGAACTTTTCTGTCCGGCAAGACAGCTATGTAGGATGACCAGGCCAGACGGCTTGTGCTGCCCGTTGGCCTAGTTAGTAGTACCCGCTGTTATGCCCGGGCGACCGGATTAGATCTCATGTGAGCCGGAAGGCAATCAGCTCCGGAAGTGTGTCGAGCTTCCTGAAATATGATTGTGTCGGCTTAGAAATGGTTATTGTGAGCCTCGAATCGAACACTATAAGAATACTCAGGATGAACGTTGCCGTGCCGAGCCGTACTCCCAGCCTTATTCAACATTGTGAATTCGGCGTATCTCCAAGGAACAAGACCGGCTGCAAGTGGGGAAAGTAGAGCCAGCTGAGTTGGCATGAAAGATGGTATAAGTAATAAAACTACCATTATGTAGAATTCCTTCAGATTAGTTTTTGCAGAGCGTGCAAGGTAAGCAAGGTGCTATGTGCATTTCAATCTCGCTTCAACAAAAATGGTCTTGAAACCACAACTGCTTATCAGCGTGTGTGTGATAGGTTAATTATTATCCTTCATTCGAGTCTGACGAAGCCACGAAACCATCTGCTCCAGAATAGATATCAACCATGGCTAGCATAAAAAAACGTTTGATCGTATGTTGTGACGGTGAGAACTCCTTTTTCCAAGTTCTAACCCTCAAGGCCAAACAAATTCTAATCGAACAGAGCCTAGTTTTTAGGCTCTTGGGACGATGGACATGATGATCGTGCGACCGACGCAGCTCAAAGCAATGTTTCGAAACTGGGTATCTATCCAATCGTTCAATCATAGTCTCTTGCGCAAGTTTCTCGATGATGGGGCTGATCGAGCGAGCCTTGAAGTAGCTCGATGCATTTCTCCCGAAGACCGACAGACGTTTCCGAATCCGACCCCTCAAATCGTTTTCTATCAATCCGGCCAGGAATATGGCTTGACTCTACAAGCAACTTCATACACCAGCTTCTTAGTCAACCAAATCCGAGATGCTTATGCTTTCCTTGTGCAACATTACATCCCTGGTGATGAGCTCTTGTAAGCAACACTTGATCATCAGACACATTCTCAAAGAATGTTTGAATGGCAGATCAACATCAACAAGCCTTTTTATTTTTGAGAATTAGGCTGTTTGGGTTTTCTCGAGGAGCTTTCATCGCAAGGACGATTGCAGAGATGGTAGCCGAGATCGGAATCCTCAACATGGCGGGGATGGAAGACTTCTACCAAGTCTTGGCAGCCTGTCAGTTGTTGCATGCGAAAGGAGACAGCGATAGGGTCGAGCGGGGGAGGGCTTCTGCACAAGCATTCCTGGACGAATATTATCAGGGTGGACAAAAGCAATTAAGAAGGATCTCCGAAGGGTCCCTGAAATGTGTGGGCGTTTGGGATATGGTCGGCGCATGCGGTCTGCGTGAGTTTTCGTGAAAGCCTTCTGATGCCCCATGCCTCCTTCACTTGATGCTCGAAACGCAGAAATTAATACCTTGTAGCATCCCAATCTGTTCGGTTATCTCAGCTGAACCGTTTGCTCAGAAGTGTTGAGATAGTCTATTAGCATTTCCCTATGTTGTATGCTTCTAACCTATACACCCACAACTTAGCCTATATTGTACATGTATATAGCCTAGTTGTGCCCTTGGTGATTCCACTTCCTTACTGAATGATAATTACATCTTGACTCAATGTGCTGGACC